ACGCGCTGCTCTTGAGGTTCGTCAATCGCTTCCGCAGCGGAGCGGTCCTCACAAAGGACGGCTCCCTCCCGAGACGTCGTGACGACACTCCAGTCCCGCACCTCTTCACTGTCGGCAGTCAGTGGGTCCGATCCTCCCTGCTCACTCCTGCTCTGCGCCACGCCGGTCTCTTGAGACAACGGCGCATCAGAAGACTCGCCCTCGCTGTGCGCCCACCCGGTGGATGTCGTCATGCAAGGTGGGTTGACAACGTGCGGCTCGCCCGAAGACAACGACGCCTCCCGCGGATCCTCCGCTGTAGAGAAGCTCGAGCCGTCGTCGGTGCCGACTGTTGCCGTCGCCTCTGCCTGTGGCGAGATGTCCGATGTCTCGGACGTGGACGGCGCCTGGCAGGTGAGCGAGCTGGGACTGAGACGCGTTGGCGGCTCGCGGAAGGTATCGCCGACGTCCACTGGCGACTTGGCATGCCACTCGGCGATGCGTGTCACCGAGAGCCGCGCCGTCTGCTCGTCGCGCGCCACCTCCTCGATGGACGACATGCGCGACGCGAGGTCAAGCTTGGGCGTGCGCCGGCCAAGCTCCAGCGTCTCCACCAGCCGTTCATCGCTCTCCGACTTGGGGATGGCGGCGGCCACCGCCGCGTCACTCGAGGCGAGCTCGGCCGCCAAGCGACGCGCCTCCATGGCCTCCTCGGCCAGAACCACGTCAAATTCGTCCACGAAGCGCGGCACGATCTCGAAGTCGCCGCCGATGGCCGGGTCGCTCGAGTCGGGTGGGCTCGGCTCATCCTTGCCGTCGTCCTCGGGCCAGTCGACGATCTCCGGCAGCGAGCTCGGCAGGCTCCCGTCCACGCTCTCGGCGCTGCACGGGCCGAGCTCGTCGGCGGCTGAATCCAGGACGTCTCGCGCCACGAGGCCGGAGCGGAACTGCAGGCGGCTGGTCACGTGCACCACTTCTTCCACCAGCTCGGCGCGCACCGTCGTCTCGGTGCGCGACTGCGACACGAACTCCTCGGCCGGCGACAGCTCGTCCGCGAGCACCTCAGCCGCCTCGGCGGCCAGCGAGGACGAGCTCGACTGGTGCACGAACTGAGCGGCGGCGGCCGGGAAGCCCGCCGCGCCACCCGACGCGTCTTCAGGAGATGGTGAGCCCTGAGGGGCGGCAGCCGGAAGACCCGCCGCGCCACCCGACGCGTCTTCAGGAGATGGTGAGCTCTGAGGGGCGGCAGCCGGAAGACCCGCCGCGACACCCGACGCGTCTTCAGGAGATGGTGAGCCCTGAGGGGCGGCAGCCGGAAGACCCACGTCTGCCTCACAGCCGGACGACTGAGGGCTGGGGGACTGGCGAGGCGGTGCCGGCTCGGCCCGCACCCACACGTGCTCCACGTGGAAGCGGTCGGTGACGGCGGTATCGGCGGTCGAGTGCGTGCGCGTTTCGTCCCGTGGCCGCGCAGGTGGGGACTCGGTCGTCTCGACTGTGCTGGTGGACGGCGTACGCGTGGGCGTGAGCGCCCCAATCGAGTCGGTTCGGGCCGGGCTGCTCGAGAGGTCGGCAGTGACGCGCCCCTCCGGGTCCGTCTCGACCGAGTCAGCCTTGCTCGAGTCGATCTCGGCCGCGTCAGGTGACTGTAAGGGCGAGAGCTCTTGGGAAGACTCACTCGGTTTGTCTTGGATAAGATGTACTTTCTCCGATTGATCGGCTAGTGTGTGGTGTGACGCATCACCCTGAATTGGGGACAAAATTTCCGAAAGTTCAGCTTCCTTATCTCTTTCGTCATCGAGCATTGCCTGGGGTGCGTCTTTGCTTTCCTCCGATGCCTCTGTCTGCGCTACACTCTCTTCAACTTCCTGAACACTGTCGCCAGTCTCTCGCGATTCTTCTGTAATGTCGGTGACATCTTCCAGAGGCCTGTCTTGGGAGGGCCTAGAAATACAGGGCACAGGCGAGCCCACCAGTCCACTGATCTCATGCGCCGCCTTCTCCACATCAGGGGTGCGGCAGATCACGGTCGGCTCACTGTCTCTCTGGGTGAACTCCGAAGAGTCGGAACTGCTCAACAGGCTAACAGGCAGGGCCGTTTCCGTTCGGGACGACACCATGACATCCGACGGCCTGTGCTCACCACCGGCGGGGATCTGCTCCGGACTAGGGAGGCCCGACGCCTCCGTGACTCCGGCCTCCGGAGCTGAGTCGGCCTCCTCCGATCCGGAAAACACGCGGCCTGGAGACGGCTCCTCCTCAGACTCGCGGTCCTGCGAGGCGCCAGCTTCCCACGGGCGGCGGCCCGGCTCCGACGACACCCAGACGTGCTCCACCTCGAACTGCTCCGTCAGCACCGTGTCGTCCCGCGTATGCAGGCGCCGGTCGAGGCAGGGCGACAGCGACGGCGACGCGCTCGACGCCGCCTCTTCGCCGACACCAACAGACACGTCCGAGTCTGCCGCGGGGCCAGGAGTGGGCGGCACCGGCCCGGAGCCGCCGTCAGACGCAGAGCACGGGGTCTGCGGCGGGGGACCAGCCGGCGACGAATCCGACGAGACGTCAAACTCTGCGACAGGCTCGCACGGAACGTCGGCCGACTCCAACCGCTCCGTAAGGTCTTCAGTCTTAGCATCGCTAGCTAACAGTGGGTGGTCGGATTTGTCATCGTGGGATTCGTGAGGTTCTTCTTTAGCTTCTTCTGTGGTACTTGCATCGAAAGCATCGGTTACAATCGGTACATCGGGTGATTTATCGGTCAAGGTACTTGCAGTAGAAGCGATGTCATCAGTCTTAACCGTACAACTCTCATCCGTAACACCACTCACATCCTTTGTCCTTTGTCCATTCCTGTCCTTTGCGTCCATTCCATCAAGCGCTTCACTCGGCTTATCATCAGTCTTTACAGCACCATCAGCCTCAGCCAACGTGATGGGTTCCCCACTGAGAGCATCACCAGCTTTTTGCTCCTCCGCATGTTCGTCACGGGATGTACCGCTCAATTCAGTGAGCGTTAGATCTTGCTCTGAAGTGACGTCAGTCGAATCAAAGCAGACGGCAGACTTTTCATCAAGGATCTCGGCTGCCTTTCCTGTGGGAATTGGCGTTTCAATGGGCTGCCCATCACCGACCGCAGCAACGGGCTCCTGTTTCGGGACATCAGTCTCAACGGACGTTTCCCCAACAGCGCGAACCGCATCAGTGAAGTCCTCAGTATCTCCCTCGCTGAATTTAGTCTCCTCAGTTTGTGGGCTAGGTTGCTCTACAGGCTTCTCCACCTCACCCTCAGAAACAACCTGATGTCTGTCTGCTGCTGCATCAGGAACATCGCCAACGGGGTCCGACATGATGTCAGACTCCTGCGCAACGTGTGCCGGTTCACCACGAGTTGCCTCGATTTTGTGAGTAGGAGCAGGCTCCTGATCAGGGATTTCGGCAGTCACGATCTGCTGGGGACCCAAAGCATCAGGTTCCAGTGGCACTGCTTCTTCGCGGTCGCCGTCGGCTGCTGGAACAGTTGGACAGTAGATGGAATCGTCCACCTTATCCCCGGACCAGTACGAAGAACCTTCCATCGGCTTGCCAAACACGCAACCACCCACCTCGGCAACCTCCCTCGCGACAACGTCCACCGCATATGGCTCAGGTACAGCCTGACCAAGTGGAACATCAGACACATCCACCTCGAACGAACGTCTCTGGGAATCGAGCGATGTCTCGACAGCTGATGACGTTTCGGAGGCGAATACAACCGTTTGCCTATCGTCTCCCATGATATCATCCACGGCCGCCTCGGTATCCAAATCTGGGGTTGCCGGTGCATGTGACCTCTGAACAATGGTTTGTTCCCTGTCAACCCGTGTATCGGCTTTTTCATCGCCAGTGTCCTCAGTCATAAGATCCCGCTCTGCAGTTGAACTGACAGCTTCTGTCAATACGTCATCGTCACATGTCTGTTCTGTGTCCTCCAAAAACGTCTCTCGTTCGCACGTAGTTTCCTCAGCAGTCTCAGCTACGGTGGTCGACAAGACAGTATCCAAAGCAACCGCCCCAGATCCCATTTCTGATGCAAGTGCAGCCGCATTGTCATCACACGGCAAACGATCAGATTCTGAGAGGGTAATTTCTGCCTGGGGCTGCTGCATTTCAGAAATTTTGGGCACTTCACCAGTGTGGGACAAAATTTCACCTGATCCCTCCTCAATGACCTGCGCAACCTTCATTACATCAATATCAACCGCCTCGTCTGATGTTCCCTTACTAGGTTCCATTGCCTGCTCTACAGTACTTTCCGTCAGCACACCCAGTTCTTTTTCAGGCATCTGCCCTATATCAGTATGCTTCGTTTCGCACGGTACGGTGTCCTGGGATACCTCTGCTGGTTTTTCTTCACAAACCTCAGTTAAGGAAATTCTTTTTTCCTGGAGTTGTGTGGAATGACTTGGTTTCTCCCCATCATCCTCAGCCAAATGGTATGCTTTTCTCTCACCGCTCTCTGCCATCTCAGCTGGCTGAACCCGAGAGGTTTCATCCATTTCGCTTATCTTCTTCTCAATGACTTCTGAAAATTCAGTTGGTAGTTTGAATTCACTGGTAATCACGTCGGCTACCTTCTCGGTGTCCTTGGTGACCTCCGCTGGCCTGTCACCCATGACTGTAGTAACACCAGCCTCGGCCACACAGGCTGCCGCCTCAGTGACCTCAGTGTTCTCACTTGGATCAGTAACAGCAGCTGGCTCTACAAGGGCACCAAAAACTTCCGCTATGAAGTCCTCATCCTCTTTAGTCACGACATTGAGTATCTCAAGGGTCTCAACGGTCTCACTAGGCTCAGTCGGTTTCTCTCCAAGCCCTTCACACACATCAACTGGACCCTTAAATGCTGCAGCGATCTCAGTTGTTTCGTGCTCACTGAGTTCAGTCCCATGGCCCGGCTCCTTCCAAGCTTCCTTTGTCTCTCCCTCAAAGACCGCAGGGATCTCAGCTGGTTTGTCTTCACTGCCTTCAACTGGGCTGTCCTGAGCGACGGCAGCCACACTGACTGAGTCCTCAGCACCTTCTGTGATCTTAGTGGTCAATGTCGGTTTTCCCTCAAGGGCGTCAGCAATATCAGCTGCTGCCTCAGTGACATCGGGAAGTGTAGTTGGTTTGTCCTCCAAGGTTGGGAATAAGTCGTCAGATTTCATGAGCACCTCAGTAAGCTTATGTGCTTGGGACGGCTGGTCCTCAATGGTTTCAGCCATGTCATCTGGTTTTTCAATGAACTCGGTCAGCTTGTCCTCACTATACTCTGTCGCGTAGGGTGGCTTCTCAACCACCGTGGAAACCATAGATGTTTCATCCCCAGTAGTTTTAGCTACATCGCCCAGGTTCTTCATGGCATCAGTAGCACCAGATGACTTGCTTTCGTCGACTTTGGTCTCGTCAGCTGGTGGTTCAAAGGTCTCAGTACCCTCAAGAGCCTCCTCAGTTGGCGTCTTATCGCCTACCTGAACCACCTCACGTATTTCCATAACGTCTGTCCTTTCCTTATGACTTACATCAGTCACATCGGCTGATTCGTCGACCACCTCATCTGTTTTGCTGCCATCAGCACGTACGTCATCGGCTGGCTCCTCTGCTACTTCAGTCAGCTCGTCACCACCAACTCTTGTCGCATCGGCTGGCGTCTCCAAGACTTCAGTCAAATTGGTAGTCTCATCCGGATCCATCTTACTGACCACAGTCTCTTCCGCATGTTCCTCAGGAACATCTCTCGGCTGGTCTTCACTATCGTCAGTCAAATCCACTGGTTCCTCACAGATCTCAGCGCGTCTGCCGTCGCACACTTTGTTCACATCGGATGGTGCCTCGGTAACGCCAGTGAACTCAGGTGTCTCAGCAATCTCAGTAGGTCCATAATCCCTATGTTCAGTCTCAATGACTGGTTCGTCAGTCATCTGAGCAGTCTCAGCTGGTTTCTCCTCAATGGTTTCAGCCACATCGGATGATATCCCAATTACTTCAAAAACTTCGATTTGAGTTTTCTCCTCGGCTCCCGTCATCTCATGAGGTGTCTCGGAGACCTCAGTGACCTCAGCAGCCTCCGTTGGTGTCTCCTCACTGACTTCAGTGACATCGGCATCCGCGAGCTCAGTTCTTGTGACCTCATCCACCTCGGTGCCATCTACCGGTTTCTCCAAGGCCTGTATCATTTCAAAAGGTTCGGCTTGTTTCTCATCAATGATTGCAGTAACCTTGCCTGGTTGCTCAATGACCCCAGTTAGTTCCTCCTCACTCTTTTCAATTTCATGGAAAGATTTTTCAGCTGGTTTCTCATCAGTGGTTTCAGCCATATGGGCCGGTTCCTCGGTGTCTGGTTCCTCGGTGGCTTCAGGTACTTCAGTAGGGATTTTCTCCTCGGCTCTGGTTACAACACCACGTGGGATCTCAAAGATCTCAGTGACCTCAGCAGCCTCGAGTGAAATCTCCTCAATGACTTCACTGTCATCGATGCCCGTGCGCTCCGTTGTTTTGACCTCGTTGACTTCGGTCACGTCGGCCGCTCTTTCAATCACTTCAGGAACGTCCAGTGGCTTTTCCTCACTAACTTCACTCACAAGACCTGGCTTCTCAATGGCCCCCGTTGACTTCTCTTCACTGGTTTCAGTAAATGCAGGATGTTTTTCGGTGAGCTCAGTAGGTTTGTAGGATCTCAGTTCAGTCTCAACAATCGGTTCCTCAGTCATCTCAGCGCCCCCAGCTCCTTCGTACTGGATGACATCAGTCATATCGGTTTGTTCCTCCGTGGCTTCAGGAACTTCGGTTATAACTTTCTCCTCGACTCCAGTCACATCATATAAGGTCTCACAAACCTCAGTGACCTCTGCAGCCTCGGCTGGTGTCCCCTCACTGCCTTCAAGCACATCAATGTCCGTGAACTCAGTTCGTGCGACCTCATCCACTGCCATGCCATCTGCCGGTTTCTCCACGGTCATAACGGTTTCGAGAGATTGCGCTCCTTTCTCATCCATGACTTCAGTAACATCGGCTGGTTCCTCTGTGACCTCAGCTGGTTTCTCTTCACTGGTTTCGGTTGCATGGAGAGGTTTTTCTGTTGGTTTGTCCTCCTCCGTAATTCCTTCCCCGGTCAACCTGAGTAGCCTCAGCCAGGCTGTCCTCGATGGCTACAGCCATATCCTCGGTCACCTCAGTAGCTTCGGTTGAAACTTTCCCCTCGGCGCCGATGGCATCATATGGTGTCTCGGAGACCTCAGTGACCTCAGCAGCATCTGTTCGTGTCTCCTCACTGACCTTAATGACGTCGATATCCGTCAACTCAGTCGGTGAGACCTCATGGGATTCCTTGCCTTCTGCTGGCTTCTCAAAGACCTCATCGATTTCAGGGAATTCAGCTCGCTTCTCATCAACGACTGTAGTAACACCAGCCGGTTCCTCAATGACCTCAGTTGAAATTTCTTCGATGAATGCAGCTACATGGAGAGATTTTCCGGCCGATTTCTCCACAATGGTGTCAGACACGTCGGGTGGTACCTCAGCGGCTCTAAGCACTTCGGTTATACCTGTTTCCTCGACTCCAGTTATATCACATGGCTTCTCAACGACTGCAGTGATCTCGGCACCCTCCGTGACCTCCATTGTCGTGACGTCATCGACTTTGGTGCCATCGGCCGCTTTTTCAACGACTTCAAGAACGTCCGCTGGTTTTTCCTCAGTAACTTCAGTCACAAGGGCTGGCTCCTGTGTGGCATCAATTGGTTTCTTTTCAGTGATTTCCGTCACATCGAGAGGCTCTTCAGTGGCTTCAGTTGGTTCGTGCTCCTGAAGTTCAGCCTGAACAAGTGGTTCCTCAGTCGCCGGAGTAGCCTCAACTGGTTTGTCATCAATGGTTTCAGCGATATCGGCTGGTTCCCTAGTGGTTTCAAAAGCTTTGGATATGACTTTGTCCTCGAGTCCGGTCACATCGTATGGGGTCTCAGAGACCTCAGCGACCTCAGAAACTTCGGTTATAGTTTTCTCCTCGACTTCGGTGATATCATGCGGTGTCTCAATGGCCTCAGTGACCTCAACAGCCTCGGTCGGTGCCGCCTCACTGATTTTGACCGCATCAACATCCGTGGACTGAGTTCGTGTGACCTCATCCACCTCGGTACCATCGGCCGGTTGCTCCAAGACCTGAACGGTTTCTGAGGATTGAGCCTGTTTCTCATCCATGACTGCAGTGATATCAGCAGGTCTCTCCGTGACATCAGTTCGTTTCTCTTCAATGATTTCAGTTACATGGAGTGTTTTTTCCAATTGTCTGTCCTCCTCCTTGTCGTCATCGGTAAGTCTTCCCTCCGTCCGCGGAGTGGCCTCAACTGGTTCCTCCTTAGCGATTTCAGCTACATCAGTTGGTGCCTCAGTACCTTCAGTAACTTCGGCTGTAACTTTCTCCTCGGCTCTGGCCACATCATCCGGTGCCTTACAGACATCAGTGACCTCAACAGCCTCAGTTGGTGTCTCATCACTGACCTGAGTCACATCGATGCCTGTGAACTCAGTTGGTTGGACCTCAACATCCCCGGTCACGTCGGTCACTTCTTCCATGGCTTCAAAAAAGTCCACCGGTTTTCCCTCACTAACTTCAGTTACCAAGGTTTGTTTCTCCGTGGCTTCGGTTGGTTCCTTTTTACTGATTTCAGTCACATGGACAGGTTTTTCGACTTCTTTGTCCTCCTCCCTGTCCTCCTCGGTAAATCCCTTCCTCAGTCGCCGGAGAAGCCTCAACTGGTTTCTCCTCAACGACTTCAGCGATAAGGGTTGGTGCCTCGGTGGCTTCATTAACTCCGGTTACAATTTTCTCCTCGGCTTCGGCCTCACCATGTGGTGTCTCAAACACCTCGGCAACTTTAGCAGCCTCAGTTGGGGTCTCCTCACTACCTTCTATCACATCGATATCCGTGACCTCGGTTGGCGTGACCTCATCGAACTCGGTGCCAACTTCCGGTTTCTCAAACACCTCAATGATTTCAGGGGACTGGGCTCGTTCCTCATCAATGATTGCAGTAGCATCTGCTAGTTCCTCAGTCACCTCAGCTGGTTTCTCTTCAATGCTCTGAGCCACATCGAGAGGTTTTTCGGCGACCTCGGTTGGCTCGACCTCTCCAAGCTCAACCTCAACAGTTGATTGCTCAGTCCTCTGAGTAGCCTCTGCTGTTTTGTCTTCAATGATTTCAGTCACATCGGCTGGTGCATCGGGGACTTCAGCAGCTTCGGTTAGAACTGTCTCCTTGATTTCGGTCACAAGACATATTGACGTAAAGGCCTTAGTGACCTGAGCAACATCAGTTGGAGTCTCCTCGCTGACTTGAATAGCATCGATCTCGTCATCGACTTTGGTGCTATCTTCTGGTTTCTCTACGACCTGAACGATTTCAAGGGATTTGGTTTGTTTCTCATCCATGACTGCGGCAACATCGGCTGGTTCCTCAGACACCTCAACTGGGCTAAGCTCACCACCTGTGCTGATATCGACTGCTGTCTCCGGCCCTGGGGTAGCGTCACTCGGTCTGGTTTCTGCCATTTCGGCCAAATCGGCAACTTCCTCAGTAATTTCAGTTCCCGCCTGCTCGCTGGTTTGAGTGAAACAGGCTAGTTCGTCAATGACCTCGCCCGGCTTGTCCTCACTCGGTTCAGCTACGTCGGCCACCTTCCCATCTACCTCACTGGCCTCAGCGGACAGCTTCTCAGTGATTAAAGCCGAATCGAATGGTCCTTGAGAGGTCTCAGTAACTTCTGCTGCTTTGACAACAGGGACTGCAGCCTCCTCAACTGGTTTGTGAATGACCTTAGTCACCTGAACATCGTAAGATGGTTTCTCCTCACAGATATCTAGGACATCACCCAGCTCTTCATGAACCTCAGTTAATTTGTGCTCGCTGATTTTGTCCATGTCTGCTTCTCTCTCAGTGATCTCAGTTTGGTAAGCACCTGCCCCAATTGTGCCAAGATCTTTCTCAGTAATCTCCGCAACAGCGAAAGGCCTGTTCTCACTGACATCGGCCATGCTAACTGATTCCTCAGACAAAAGAAGTTGTTTTTCATCACTGGATTCATCAAGCGAGGCTAATTCCTTCGCAACTGTAGTAGTTTCGACTCCACGGGACTCAGGGATGTCAGAAAAACCTACCATGTCCCTTGTGTCCACCTCTTCGATATCGCATGGTAGAGGAGTGGCCTCATTGTCATCATCAAACCTACCTGGAGACTCCGAAGCGCCATCTTTATCGGCGAACACGCCACGAACCTTATCACCGATTTTGCTCGCGAGAAGTACGGGCCCCAGCACTACAGCACCCGCTGCCATTTTCAGCACAGAGAGGTGGTCTTTCTTAGCAGATACGTCATCGTGTCTGCTCTCAACCAATTCAGTCACATCGGATGGGGCCTCACTGACGCCAGAGAACTCAGCTGTTTTGGTGATCTCAGTTGGTGCATACACTTTAAGTTCCGTCTCAATAATTTGTTCCTCGGTTACCTTAGAAGTCTCTGCCGGTGCATCTCCCATGGCTTCAGCCATATCGGGTGGTTCTCCAGTGACCTCAGAGACTTCGGGCAGAACGTCCTTCTCGACTCCGGACACATCCTTTGTTGTCTCAAACACTTGAGTGACCTCACCAACGTCGGTTGGTGTCTCCTCACGGACTTCGATGACGTCGATGTCCGTGACCTGAACGTCCGTGAGGTCAGTCGGTGTGACGTCATCAAATTCTGCGCCATGTGCGACCTTTTCCAAATCCTGAACGATTTCAGGAACTTGATCTCGTTTATCAATTACAGTAGAAACATCAGCTGGTTTCTCAGTGGTCACTGTTGGTTTCTCTTCAATGACTTCAGTAACATCGACACGCTTTTCAATGACCTCTGTAGGCTTGAACTCTCCAACTTCGGTCTCAATAACTATTCCCTCAGCCACCTGAGGACTTTCAGATGGCTTGTCCTCAAATGTTTCAGCCAAATCGGCAGATGAATCGGTAACTTCAGAAACTTCCGTTACTATTTTCTCCTTGGCTCCGGCCACATCATGTGGTTTAGCAGAGACCTCAGTGTCCTCAGCAGATTCGGTTGCGGTCTCCTCGCTAAACTCCATCACATCGATGTCTGTGAACTCAGTTGGTGTGACTTCGCCGACCTTGGTTCCATCGGCCGGTTTCTCCAAGAGCGGAACAATTTCAGTAGTCCGTTTCTCCTCACTGGTTTCAGTTGCATGGATAGGTTTTTCAGCCAACTTGTCCTGAACACTTTCCATGTTTCCTGGTGTCAAGGTGGCTTCAGCACCCTCGGCTACAATTTGTTCCTCGACTCCAATTACATCATGTGGTTTCTCAGGAACCGCAGAAATCTCAGCGGCCTCGGTTGGTGTCTCCGCACTGGATACAATCACACCGATTTCCGTGACCTGTAGTGTGACCTCATCGGCTTTGGTATCATCGGCCGCTTCTTCAGCGAATTCAGCAAAGTCCGCTGGCTTTTCCTCAGTAACTTCAGTCACACCGGCTGGCTCCTCAATGGCCTCAGTTGACTTCCCCTCATCGATTTCAGTCACCTTCAGAGGTTTTTCGGTGACGTCGGCAGGTTTGTACGTTTCAAGAACAGTCTCAATGACTGGTTCCTCAGTCACCTGCGTAGGCTCAGCTGGTTTACCATCAATGGTTTCGGTCATATCGGCTGGTTGTTTCGTGGCTTCAGAAACTTCACTCAGAATTTGCTCCTCGGCTTCCGTCACATCATGAGGTGTCTCGGAGATCTCCGCGACCTCAGCAGCTTCGATTGGTGTCTCCTCACTCACTTCAATCACATCGATGTCCGTGAACTCACTTCGTGTGACCTCATCCACTTCCATGCCACTGATGGGTTTCTCCATGGCCAACAAGATTTCGGACGAATCGGCTGGTTTCTCACCACTGACTGTGGGAACATCAGCTGGTTCCCCTGTGGCCTCAGTTGGTTTCTCTTCGCTGATTTGTGTTACATGGAGAGTTGTCTCTACTGGTTGGTTCTCGTTCTTATCGTCTTCGATCATTCCTTCCTCAGTCACCTGAGAAGCGTCCACTCGTTTGTCCTCAGTGGTTCCAGTCACATCGGTAGATTTCTCAGCGACTTCAGTAACGTCAGCTATAACTTCGTCCTCAGCTCGGAATGCATTATACTGCGCTTCAAAGACCTCAGTAACCCCAACAGACTCTGTTGGTGTCTCTTCACTGACTTCAACGACGTCGTCGTCCTTGAACTCGGTGGACGTACACTCATCCACTTCGGTGCCATCTGCCGGTTTCTCCACGACCTGAACGATTTCAGGGTGTTCAGCTGGTTTTTCATCAATGACTTTAGTAACATCGGCTGGATCCTCAACGGCCTCCAATGGTTTCTTTTCAACGATTTCGGTCACATCGAGAGGTTTTTCGGTGACCTCAGTTGGTTTGTACTCTTCGAGTTCAGCCTGAATACGTGGTGCCTCAGTCGCCTGAAGAGAGACAATTGGTTTCTCTACAATCGTTTCACTAACGTCAGGTTCCGTGAACTCAGTTCGTGTGATCTCATCCATTTCGGTGCCGTCTGTCGGCTTCTCCAAGACCTGAACGATTTCTGAGGACTGGGATTGCTTCTCATCAATGACTATAGTAGCATCGGCTGGTTCCTCTGCAACCTCTGCTGGTTTCTCCTCACTGAGCTTAGATGCATGGAGAGGTGTCTCGGCCGCCTTGTCCTCACTCGTTTTAGCCATGTCGTCTGGTGCCTCAAATGCTTCAGAAACCTCTGTTGAACCTGTCGCCTCGACTCCCGTCACCTCAAAGGATGTCTCCGGGACCTCAGTGACATCAGCACCCTCAGATGGTGCCTTCTCACTGACTTCGACCGCGTTGGTGTCAGTGACTTCCGTTGGTGTGACCTCATCAACTTCCGTACCAGTTTCCGGTTTCTCCATGACCTCAACGATTCCAAGGAATTGAGTTGGCTTGTCATCAATGGCTGTAGTAATATCGGCTGGCCCCTCGGTGGCCTCATATGGTTTTTCTTCAGTGATTTCTGTCACATCGAAAGGCTTTTCCGTGATCTCAGTTGGTTTATGCTCTCCAAGGTCGGCCTGCATAAGTGTTTCTGCAGTCACCTCAGTATCCTCAACTGGCTCGTCCTCAGTGGTTTCAGCCACATCAGCTGGTTTGTCACAGACTTCAGTAACTTCGACTGGAAGCTTTTCCTTAACTTCAGTTACATCATATGCTGTTACAAAGGCCGTACTGACCTCAGGAGCCGCGGGTCGCGTTTCCTCACTGACTTCAACCTCATCGATGTCCGTGACCTCCGTTAGTGTGACCTCATCGACTTCCGTATCATCTTCCAGCTTCTCCAAGGCCTCAAGAAATTCCGGGGATTGAGCTCGTTTATCATCAATCACTGAAGTAACATCGGCTGGCTCCTCAGCGGTCTCAACTGGCTTCTTTTCGACGATCTCAGTCACATCAAGAGTTTTTTCGGTGACTTCGGTTGTTTTGAACTCTTCGAATTTAGCCTGGATAAGTGGTTCCTCAGTCACCTGAGTAGCTTCAGCTCCTTCCTCTTGAATGGTTTCACCCATATCGGCTGGTCCCTTCGTGATTTCCGAGACTTCGGTCATAATTTTGTCCTCGACTTCGGTCACATCAAGTGGTGCCTCAGACACCTCAAGGACCTCAAAAGCCTCGATTGGTGTTTTCTCACCGATTTCATCGACATCGATATCCGTGATCTCAGTTCTTGTCAACTCGGCGACTTTGGTGCCATCTTCCGGTTTCTCTATGACCTGAACAGTTTCCGGAGATTGAACCCCCGTCTCATCAATAATTGCACCAACATCGGCTGGTTCCTCAGGAACCTCAGTTGGTATTTGCTCACCACCTGCGCTGGCATCAATCGCTGTCTCAAGCCCTCGCGCAGTGTCACTTGGCAATGCCTCTACCTTCACGGGCATATCGGCATTTTCCTGAGTGATCTCAGTTCGTCCCTCTTCGCTGGTTTGAGTCGAACCGGCTTGTTTGTCAGTGACCTCGTCCGGCTTCTCCTCGCTCGGTTCAGTCACATCGGCCATCTTCCCATCCATCTCACTGGCCTCAGCGGACAGCTTCTCGCTGAGTGGTTCCTGAGTGGTCTCAGTAACTTCTGTTGGTTTGTCAGCAGTAACTACAGCTTCCTGAACTGCTTTGTGAATGACCTCAGTTACCTCAACGGCGTCAGCTGGTTTCTCCTCATCCACGTCAGTCACATCCTTCAGCTCTTCATGGTGTTCAGTGAATTTGTCTTTGCTGACTGCATGACTATCTGCCACTCCCTCAGTGACCTCGGCGCCGGCGAGAGCGCCACGAACCTTATCACTGATTTTGCTGGCGAGAAGTACAGGCCCAAGCACCGCGGCACCCGCTGCCATCTTTATAAATGAGAAGGGATCTTTCTCGGCGGATGCGTCATCGTGTCTACTCTCACTCGCTGCTGTCAAATCGGATGGTGCCTCGCTAACGCCTGTGAATTCAGGTGTTTCGGTGACCCCAGTTGGTGCATGGCCTCGAACTTCAGTGTCAAGAATTGCTTCCTCAGTCACCTGAGTAGCTTCAGCTGGTTTGTCCTCGATGACATCCGCTATACTGACTGGTTTCTCAATGACCTCAGAAACTTCGAGTAGAGGTTTCTCCTCGGCTCCGGTTACGTCAAGCGGTGTCTCAAACACCTCAGCGACCTCAGGGCCTTCGGATGGTGTCCCCGCACCGACCTGGGTTACGCCGATGTCCGTGACCTCCATTGGTGTGACCTCATCGACTTCCGCCGTACCATCTTCAGGTTTCTCCAAGACCTCAACGATTTCAGTGGATTCAGCCCCTCTGTCATCAAAGACTGCAGTAAGACCGGCTGGCTCCTCCTGAACGTCAGCTGGTTTCTCTTCAATGAGTGCGGTCACGCCGAGGGGTTTTTCGGTGACCTGACTTGGTTTTGACCTGACCTGACCTGGACCTGACAGGTCGGTGACCTGACTTGGTTTTGACCTGACCTGACCTGGACCTGACAGGTCGGTGACCTGACTTGGTTTTGACCTGACCTGACCTGGACCTGACAGGTCGGTGACCTGACTTGGTTTTGACCTGACCTGACCTGGACCTGACAGGTCGGTGACCTGACTTGGTCTGTGCTCTCCAAGTTCAGCCTGAATATGCGTTTCCTCAGTCACCGGAGTAGCCTCAGCAGGCTTGTCCTCAATGGTTTCAGTCACATCGGCAGGCTCAGCAGGCTTGTCCTCAATGGTTTCAGTCACATCGGCAGGCTCAGCAGGCTTGTCCTCAATGGTTTCAGTCACATCAGCAGCCTCAGCAGGCTTGTCCCCAATGGTTTCAGTCACATCGGCTGGTGCGTCAGCGACATCAGTAGCTTCGATTAGTGACCTTGATTTCTCCTTGACTTCGGCCACATCATATGCCGTCACAGCGACGGTAGTGACTTCAGCAGCCGCCGTTGGTGTTTCCTCACTGACTTCAACCACATCGATTTCCCTAACTTTAGCCGATGTGACCTCATCCACTTCTGTGCCATCTGCTGGTTTCTCCAAGACCTGAACGATATCAGGGGATTGAGCTCGTTTCTCATCAATGACTAGAGTAATACCGGCTCGCTCCTCAGTGGCCTCAGTTGGTTTTTCTTCAATGATTTCACTCACATCGAGCAGTTTATCACTATCCTCAGTTAATTCATTATCTCTAAGTTCAGTCCCAAGAACTGATTCCTCTGGCACCCGGGAAGCCTCAGCTGGTTTCTCCTCAGTGGTTTCAGCCACATCGGCTGGTGCCTCCGTGGTTTCAAAAGCGTCGGTTGGAATAGTGACTTCGTCCGCCTTCTCCTCGCTCGGTTCAGTCACATCGGCCACCTTCCCATCCACCTCACTGGTCTCAGCGGACAGCTTCTCGCTGAGTACAGCCGAATCGAATGGTTCCTGAGTGGTCTCAGTAAGTGTTGTTGGTCTGTCAGCAGTGACTGCAGCTTCCTGAACTGCTTTGTGAATGACCTCAGTTACCTCAACAGCGTCAGCTGGTTTCTCCTCACCCACGTCACTTACATAACTCAGCTTGTCACGAACTTCAGTTGATTTCTCCTCGCTGCCTTCATCCCTTTCCGCCACTCCCTCAGTGCCCTCGGCGCCCGCGAACACGCCACGAACCTTATCACTGATTTTGCTAGCGAGAAGTACGGGCCCAAGCACCGCAGCACCCGCTGCCATCTTTAAAACCGAAAAGTGATCTTTCTCGGTAGATACGTCACCGTGTCCACTCTCACACACTCCAGTCACATCGGATGACGTCTCGCTAGCGCCAGTAAACAGAGATGTTTTCCTGACCTCAGTTGGTTCATACTCTCGAAGCTGAGTGTCAATAGTTGGTTCCTCACCCACCTGAGTAGCTTCAGCTGGTTTATCCTGGATGGCATCAGCGATAGCGGTTGGTTTTGCAGTGATCTCAATTACTTCTGTTAGAATTTTCTCATCGCCTCTGGTCACGTCACGTGGTGTCTCAAAGACTTCAGTGATCTCATCACCCTCGGGTGCTGTCTCCTCACTGACTTCGATCACATCCATGTCCGTGTCCTCTGTTGATATAGCCTCCTCAACTTTGGTGCCATCTTCTGATTTCTCCAAAACGTGTACCGTTTCTGGGGACTGAGCCCGTTCCTCATCAATGACTGCAGCAACATCGCCTGGTTCCTCAGTGATCCCAGTTGGTTTCTCTTCCATCATTTCAGCAACATCGAGACGTCTTTCGGTACCCTCAGTGCGTCTGTACTCTCCAAATTCATCTTCAATAGTTGGTTCCTCACTTCCCTGAGGAGACTCAGCTAGTTTCTCATCAAATGCTTCGAAAATATCGATGTCTGTGGATTCAGTTCTTGCGACCTCATCCACATCGGTGTCATCGTCCAGTTTTTCCAAGGCCTGAACGATTGGTGGCGATTGGGGTTGTTTCTCATCTGTGACTGTAGTAACGTCGACCGTTTCATCTGTGACTTCTGCTGTCATCTCTTCAGTTAGTTCAGTTACATGGGGAGATGTCTCGGCTGGTTTGTCCTCACTCGTTTCAGCCATGTCGTCTGGTGCCTCAAAAGTCTCAGGGACCTTGCTGAGAACTGCCGTCTCGACTCCGGTCATATCATATGGTGTCTCAAAGACCTCAGTGACCTCAGCACCCTCGGATGGTGTTTTCTCACCGAATTCAATCACGTCGATATCTGCGACCTCCGTTGGTGTGACCTTAACAACTTCCGTACCGTCTTCCGGTTTCTCCAAGATCTCAACGATTTCAGGGGATTGAGCCTGTTTGTCATCAAAGTCTTTAACACTGGCTGGCCCCCCAGTGGGTTCAATTGGTTTCTCTTCAACGATTCTAGTAACATCGAAAGGTTTTTCGGTGATCTCAGCTGGTTTGTGCTCTCCAAGTTCAGCCTGAATAAGTGGTTCTGCAGTCACCTGAGTATCCTCAACTGGCTTGTCCTCAATGGTTTCAGTCACATCGGGTGGTGCGTCAGGGACTTCAGTGGCTTCGATTGGAAGCTTTTCCTTGACTTCCGTAACATCATATGCTGTTACAAGGGCCGTGGTGATCTCAACGATCTCAGCTGGTGTCTCAGTTGGAATCTCAGCTGATGAGACATCATCTAATTCGGTGACATCTGATGGTTTCTCCAAGACCTGAACGATTTCGGGTGATTGAGCTCGTTTCTCATCACTGATGGTAGTAACATCGGTTCGTTCCTCAATGACCTCAGTTGGTTTCTCTTCAATGATTTCGCTGACATCGAGAAGTTTATCAGTGACCTCAGTTGGTTCGTGCTCTCCACGTTCAGTCTCCATAACTGGCTCCTCTGACACCCGGGAAGCCTCAGCTGGTTTCTCCTCAGCGGTTTCAGCCACATCGGCTGGTGCCTCCGTGGTTTCAGAAGCTCCGGTTGGAATTTCTCCCTCGACTCCGGCCACATCAAGTGGTGTCTCGGACACCTCAAGGACCTCAACGGCCTCGACTGGTGTCTCCTTGCAGATTTCAGTGACATGGATATCCATGATCTTCGTTGGCGTCACCTCGGCGGCTTGAATGCCATCTTCAGGCTTTTTATCCGGTTTTTCTAAGAGATCAACGATTTCAGGAGTTTGAACTCGTTTTTCGACGATTGTGACAGCATCGGCTAACTCCTCAGTCACCTTAGTTGGGCTATGCTCACTACCTACCTTGGAATCGACCGCTGCCTCAACCCCTGGAGTGACGTCACTTGGCGCTGTCTCTGCCATTTCGGGAACATCGGCAACTTCCTCCGTGATCTCAGTTCCTGCATGTCCACTGGTTTCAGCCAAAGCGGCTAGTTTTTCAATGACCTCGTCCGGCTTCTCCTCGCTCGGTTCAGTCACATCGGCCATCTTCCCATCCACCTCACTGGCCTCAGCGGAAAGCTTCTCGCTGAGTACAGCCGAAACGAATGGTTTCTGAGTGGTCTCAGTAACTTCTGTTGGTTTGTCAGCAGTAACTACAGCCTCCTGGACTGCTTTGTGAATGACCTCAGTTACCTCAACAGCGTCAGCTGGTTTCTCCTCACCCACGTCAATTACATAACTCAGCTTTTCACGAACTTCAGTTGATTTCTCTTCGCTGCCTTCATCCCTTTCTGTCACTCCCTCAGCGCCCTCGGCGCCCGCGAACACGCCACGAACCTTATCACTGATTTTGCTGGCGAGGAGTACGGGCCCTAGCACTACAGCACCCGCTGCCATCTTCAAACCCGAGAAGTGATCCTTCTCGGCAGATGTGTCACCGTGTCTACTCTCACACACTCCAGTGACATCGGATGGCGCCTCGCTAGCGCCAGTGAACTCAGGTGTTTCGGTGAACGCAGTTGGTTCATACTCTCGTAGTTCAGTGTCAATAGCCGGTTCCTCAGTCACATGAGAAGTCTCATCTGGTTTGTCCTCAATAGTATCAGTCATCTGGGTTGGTTTCTCAGCGACCTCAGAAAGTTCGGCTACAATTTCCTCCTCGGCTTCAGTCACGTCATGTGGTGTATCAAAGACTTCAGTGATCTCATCACCCTCGGGTGGTACCTTCTCACCTACTTCGATCACGTCGATGTCCGTGACCTCCGTTGGTGTGACCTGATCAACTTCCGTACCATCATCCGGTTTCTCGAAGACCTCAACGATTTCAGGGGATTGAGCTCGTTTGTCATCAATAGCTTGAATAACACTAGCTCCCTCCTCAGTGGCCTCAGTTGGTTTCTTGTCAATGACTTCAGTCACGTCGAGACGTTCTTCGGTGACATCAGTTGGTTTGTGCTGTTCAAGTTCAGCCTGAATAAGTGGTTCGGCAGTCACCTGACTAGCTTCAGCTGACTGATCCTCAATGGCTTCAGTCACATCGGCTGGGGCGTCAGGAGCTTCAGTTACTTCGGTTAGGAGTTTCTCCTTGACTTCGGTCACATCACATGGTATCACAAAAGCCGTAGTGACCTCAGCAGCCTCGGGTTGTGTTTCCTCACTGGCTTCAACAACATCAATGTCCTTGACCTGAGCTGATGTGACCTCATCAGGTTCCGTGTCATCCGCTGGTTTCTCCAAGACCTGAACGATTTCAGGGGATTTAGCCTGTTTCTCACCAATCACTGCAGTTTGATCATCTGACTCGTCAGTGGTCTGAATGGGTTTCTGTTCAATTACTGCAGTCACATCGATAGTTTCTTCGGTGACCTCAGCTGGTTTGTAATCTCCGAGTTCAACCTCAATAGCTGGTTCCTCAGTGCCCTGAGTAGACTCAGCTGGTTTCTCCTCAATGGTTTTAGTCACATCGATAGGTTCTTCGGTGACCTCAGTTGGTTTGTAATCTCCGAATTCAGCCTCAATAGCTGGTTCCTCAGTGTCCTGAGGAGACTCAGCTGGTTTCTCTTCAATGGTTTTAGTCACATCGATAGGTTCTTCGGTGACCTCAGTTGGTTTGTACTCTGCAAGTTCATCCTGAATGGGTTGTTCCTCAGTGACGTGCGTACCATCAGCTGGCTTCTCAATTATTTCAGCCAGTTGTTCAGCCAGTTCAGTTGACGCGTCGGGGATTTCAGTAGCTTTCGTTACAACTATCCCCTCGACTGTAGTCACATCATATGATGTCTCAAAGGCCTCTGTGAGCCCAGGAGCCTCGGATGGCGTCTCTTCACTGACTTCGATCGCGTCGATGTCCGTGACCTCCGCTGGTGTCACGTCACCGACTTCCGCGCCATCTGCCTGTTGAGCCAAGGCCTGATCCACGTCCCCCTTGTATAATTCCTCCCCACTGACCTTAGGAGCCTCGAGGGTTTCCTCCACAGTGGTCACAGTCAGCATCGCTGGCTTCTCTTCGGTGCCTTCAGTCACCTCGGCCGGTCGCTCTCTGATGACTGTAGTAAGAGCATCTGGTTCGTCGGTGAGCTTAGCGACATCTGCTGGTTCGTCCTCAACGACTTCGGCAAGCTGAATGGGTTGATATTCACTGGGCTGAATTGTTTTCTCCTCCGTAACACCACGCGTCCCAGGTGCGGGGAAGTCAGGAGCCCCCACTAATTCTTCCACCTTTTCCTCACCTGCATCAGCTGTGGTCTCCTCCACGGTATGAACACACACGACCGGTTCCTCCTCAGTCATGCTAGCTGTTTTCTCTACATGGGCGTCGGTTACAAAATCTGGTTCCCCAGTACCTGCAATCACCTCAATTAGTGGTTCATGACGGATCTCACCTGCAAGGGCTGGTCTGTCCTCGTCAACCTGAATAAACTCGGCTTGTTCTTTCTGAGTGACGTCTGCTGTTTCCCTACTCACGTTGATCTCAACTACTGGTAACTTAAAGCCAGCAGCACCGGCTTGTTCCTCTTTAGTGATGCTTACGTCCTCAGTTGTTATTTCCTGAGCGGCCTCTACAGGCTCTGCCAGAATAATTTTGGGGACCTCGCAGACCTCATCCACATCGACCGACTGACTCAAATCAAGTTTGCTGGCATCCTGATCTACGGTAGAGGCTGTGAATGCCTCTGTATCGGAAACCTCAACTGGCACAGTGACCACAACTGACTCATCTACTTTCTCGTCACTCATTTCGGTCATCTGGGACTGTTTTTCCTCACAAACCTTTGTCACCTCAGCTGAAACCTGCTCAGTTAGCTCCCCCAATCTTTCTTCACCACCTTCACAAATCTCAGGAACGCTTTGCTCTCTAACCACATCACCCTCAACTGGTTGTTTCGTGAGGTCCATGGCTATCTCGTACGGATGTTCATTGGTCTCGGACGCATAAGTAGATTCTTTTGTGTCATATTCGTAAACATTACGATCACCAGCAGCACCCTCATCGGGTACTTCCTTCGGTTTGGTAACCGCATCGCGGACCTTTTCCTCAATTTTGCTGGCCAGAAGGGCGGGTCCTAAGATGGCGGCTCCTACAGCCATCTTCAGAACAGACATACCACTCAAAGGCTCCTGGCCTTCATCGCGGACAGGCGGGATCTCATCCGGCTTGAGCTCAGCCTCTCGGTAGGATGTCATTGCCCCTTCACGCTCCCCAGATGGACGCGCAGCGTACATGCCCTCTGACTCCGTGAGCACTTCGTGGGCATCAGGGATGCTTTCCCTGGGCGCGTCCTGAGCGTACGCATCAATTCCTTTCAAAGACGGCTCAGTACTGATGGACCCATCGAACTCTGCTGCAACAATCCCTTCGCTCATCACCTTTAATTCGTCCGCACCCTCAGGCCGGGCCAATTCTTGCCCACTCGCAGGGGACTTATCGTCGCCCAGCTCGTCCGTGCTAACGCAAATCCCCCAAAAGGCTTCGCTGGATGCCTCAGTCGACTTCTGATCTGGTCCATCGTCAGCAGTGTCGAGATCGTGCCCACCCAAAACACGCGCTTTCACATCATCCAGGTCACGCCCACCGCCAGAAGCATCCACAAAGTCCGCGTCATGCACTGAGGCCCTTCCCAAAAGTGTCATACCGATTCCTTCGGCATCGTCAACGGCATCAGCAGCCTTGGGACCAGCGGTACCATCGTCTAATCCATCAGTAACATCCGAAAGTTCAGGCTCCTTCTCGTGGCCATGCGTGGCCATCGCAGCTTCATACGAGCCAATTACTCGTGGTTTGTCACCTTCCACTTCCATGACTTCAGCTTGCTGGGCAGCCTTCTCCACAGAAAGGAGGGTCACGCCCGGTGATTTTTCTTCGGGAACCTCCTCGAATGCAGTCACTTCTACTGGTGTCTCGGCATCGGTTGTTTCCATGGGCAGTTCTATTGCCTCAGTTGACACAGTCAGTTTGACGGGTTTCCCGACATAACTTTCATCCAATGGCCTTTCCTCTATCACCTCACTCACGTCAGCATCCTCAACTGCCTTCTCAAGCGCAACGTTCTCAGCATCATAGGCTTCTTCGCCGGGCTCTGTCAGTGGTTCCTCGGGAACTTCGGCAGTCTCCACAGTTTTGTCTTCGATTTCATCGGACGCTTCCAAAGCATGCAACGGTTTTTCGTCGGGACCTTCAACAACGACATCACGAGTTTCGGCAGATCTTTTCTCTTCCCAGTCAGCTTCCTCGGCGCGATCAGATACCCTTTCAGCCAGGGGAATGTCGGTAACATCTGACAACTTTTCGTCGATGACCTCACTGGTAAGCGTGACCTCAAAAGGCTTATACCCAACAGACTCACGCAAATGTGCTTCGTCGTCGACTTCAGCTGCTTTCGTTTCCGCGACTAGTTTCTCATCGATAACCTCAATGGCACCAATCGGTTCAACTGGTTCTTCCTCCACCACCTCGACCATCTCTTTGATGGGCTCGGTGGGCAATGTTACTCCTCCAAATTTGTCAATCTCGGTAGCATCCGGTGGAGTCTCCTTTTCCAGCACAATTGCGTCAGTCGCTGAGGATGGTTCCCTTTCGGCATCCTCAGCAGCACGAGCGACGTCCGCTGTCTTCTTCTCAGTTATCTCTGTTCGAACCTCCACATCCACAGGTTTTTCAACGTCGGAAGTCTCCAGGGAAGTATCCACTTCTATGTCAAACAAGACAGCCTGCTGAGCCGGCACCTCTTCCGCGACCTCAGCCAACTCCGATGGCTTTCGTTCCGTCACCTCTGGCTCTGTCAGTACCTCCACAGGCTTTTCAACCTCATCCCTTTCAAGAAGGATTCCCTCCTTCACCTCCGACATGACATCAAATACTGCTTCCGCCCTCTCTAAGATAGGTTCAGTGGGCGTTGCAACAGCCAGTTTTTCAATTTCTGACGCATCTTTTTCGACCTCAGTTCTATCCGTCACTTCGAATGGCTTCTTCTCCGCATATTCAGCAACGTCACTGACATCTATTGGCTCCTCCTCCATAATCTCAGTGAGGATCTCTAGATCTACAGGCTGTTCAACGTCGGAGGTTTCAAGGGGAGTATCCACTGCTATGTCAGACAAGACAGCCTCCTGAATTGGCACCTCTTCAGCGACTTCAGCCCATTCCGATGACTTTCGTTCCGTCACCTCGGGCTCTGTCGGTACCTCCACAAGCTTTTCTACCTCAGCTGTTTCACGAACGACTTCCTCTTTTTCAATTTCGGTCACATCTTTTTCGGCCTCAATTCCGTCAGTCACTTCGAATGGCTTCTTCTCCGCATCATCAGAAACATCTCTGACACCCGGTGGCTCCTCATCCAAGATCTCAGTTAGAACCTCTACATCTACAGGATGTTTAACGTCAGATGTTTCAAGGGGAGTATCCACTTCGATTTCAGACAAGACAGCCCCCTGAACCGGCACCTCTTCGGTGACTTCGGCCAACTCTGATGGCTTTCGTTTCGTCACCTCGGGCATTGCTGGTACCTCCACGGGCTTTTCCACTTCCTCTGTTTCACGAACGATTTCCTCCTTCAGCTCCGAGATTGCTTCAAATCTTTCCTCATCCCTGTCTTTCGTAGGTTCGGTGGACATTATAACATTCGCAGGTTTCTCAAATTCGGTCACATCTTTTTCGACCCCAATTCCGCCAATCACTTCGCATGGCTTCTTCTCCGCGTCTTCAGCAACACCTTTGACATCCACTGGCTCCTCATCCGTAATCTCAGTTAGAACCTCTACATCTACAGGAGGTTCAACGTCGGATGTTTTAAGTGGAATATCCATTTCAATGTCAGACAAGACAGTCGCCTGAATTGGCACGTCTTCGGCGAATTCGGCGAACTCCGATGACTTTCCTTCCGTCACCTCTGGCTCTGTCGGTATTTCCAGAGGCTTTTCCGTCTCGTCTCCTTCAAGAAAAACGTCCTCTTTCAGCTCCGAGATAACATCAAAGACCTCCAAAGGCTTCTCTTGGAAGGGTTCAGCGGTTGTTGCTTCCTCAACAGGTTGCTCTATTTCAATTACATCCGATGGCGTGTCCTTCTCTTGCTCAGTTTCTTCAGTCACTTGGAATGTCTTCTGTTCGGTGTCCTCGGCAACACTGGTGACGTCCGTGGGCTTCTCACCCGTGACAACGGCTAGGTCCTCAATATCTACAGGTTTTTCCACGTCCGTAGTTTCAAGGGAAGTCTCCACTCCGATATCAGACAAGGCAGCCTCCTGACCCGGCACGTCTTCGGCGACTTCGGCCAACTCCGATGTCTTTAGTTCCGTCACCTCATGCTGTGTCGATACCTCTACAGGCTTTTCTACCATATCTGTTTCAAGCAGCACTTCCTCTTTCACCTCCGAAATTATTTCAAATACTTCCTCAGCCTTTTCTTTGATAGGTTCAGTGGGCATCGTAACATCCACAGGTTTTTCAATTTCGGTCACATCTTTTTCGACCTCAATTCCGTCAGTTCCTTCGTATGGCTTCTTCTCCGCGTCATCAGCCACACCTGCGACATCCACGGGCTTCTCATCCATAATCTCAGTTAGAACCTCTACATCTACCGGCTGTTCAACATCAAAGGTTTTAAGTGGAGCATCCATTTCAATGTCAGACAAGACGGTTGTCTGGATCGGCACCTCCTCGGCCACGTCGGCAAACTCCGATGGCTTTCGTTCCGTCACCTCACGCTCTGCCGATACCTCCACAGGCTTTTCTACCCTATCTGTTTCAGGGAACACTTCCTCTTTCACCTCCGAGATCACTTCAAATACTTCATCAGCCTTCTCTTTGATAGGTTCAGTGGGCGTCGCAACATCCAAAGGTTTTTCAATTTCGGTCACATCTTTTTCGACCTCAGTTCCATCAGTTACTTCGAATGGCTTCTTCTCCGCGTCTTCAGCAACACCTGTGACATCCACTGGCTTCTCATCTGTAATCTCAGTTAGAACCTCTACATCCAAAGGTTTTTCCACGTCGGAAGTTTCAAGTGGAGTACCCACTTCGATGTCAGACATGACAGCCTCCTGAACCGGCACCTCTTCGGCGACTTCAGGCCAACTCCGATGGCTTTCGTTCCGTCACCTCGGGCTCTGTTGGTGCCTCCGCAAGCTTTTCCACCTCATGTGTTTCACGAACGATTTCCTCTTTCGCCTCCGAGATCACGTCAAATACTTCTTCAGTCTTCTCTTCCACAGATTCAGTGGGCGTTGCAACATCCAGAGGTCTTTCAATTTTGGTCACATCTTTTTCTATCTCAATCTCATCAGCCACTTCAGATGGCTTCTTTTCCGCACCCTCAAAAACATCTCTAACATCCACTGGCTCCTCACCCAAGATCTCAGTGAGAGCCTCTATCTCTCCAGGATGTTTAACGTCGGATATTTCAAGGGGAGTATCCACTTCGATGTCAGACAAGACAGCCTCCTGAATCGGCACCTCCTCGGCGACTTCGGCCAACTCCGATGGCTTTCGTTGCGTCACCTCAGGCTGTGTCGGTATCTCTGCAGGCTTTTCTACCTTATCTGTTTCAAGACGCACTTCCTCTTCCGCCTCCGAGATGACATCAATGATCTCAAAAGGCTCGTCTTGGAAAGGCTCAGCGGTTGCTGTTTCCTCAACAGCTTGTTCTATTTCGATTACATCCGATGGAATGCCCTTCTTTACCTCAATTCCTTCAGTCACTTGGAATGGCTTCTTCTCGATGTACTCGGCAACACCGGTGACGTCCGTGGGTTTATCATCCGTGACACCGGTCACGTCCTCTACATCCACAGGTTTTTCCACGTCGGAGGTTTCAAGTGGAGTATCCACTTCGATTTCAGACATGACAGCCCCCTGAACAGGCACCTCTTCGGCGACTTCGGCCACCGCCGATGGCTTTCGTTCCGTCACCTCGGGCTTTGCTAGTACCTCCACGGGCTTTTCCACCGCATCTGTTTCACGAACGATTTCCTCTTTCACCTCCGAGATTACTTCAAATACTTCCTCATCCTTCTCTTCCGTAGGTTCGGTGGGCATTGTAGCATCCACAGGTCTGTAAATTTCGGTCACACCTTTTTCCACCTCAATTCCGTCAGTCACTTCGCGTGGCTTCTTCTCCGCGTCTTCAGCAACACCTTTGACATCCACTGGTTCCTTATCTGTAATCTCTGTTAGAACCTCTACATCTACAGGATGTTCAACGTCGGATGTTTTAAGTGGAATATCCATTTCCATGTCAGATAAGACAGTCGCCTGAATTGGCACGTCTTCGGAGACTTCGGCCAACTCCAATGGCTTTCGTTCCGTCACCTCTGGCTCTGTCGGCACTTCCACAGGCTTTTCCATTTCGTCTCCTTCAAGAAAAACGTCCTCTTTCACCTCCGAGATAACGTCAAAGACCTCCAAAGGCCTCTCTTGGAAGGGTTCAGCGGTCGTTGCTTTCTCAACAGGTTGCTCTATTTCGATTACATCCGATGGAGTGCCCTTCTCTAGCTCAATTCCTTCAGTCACTTGGAGTGGCTTCTTCTCGCTGTCCTCAGGAACACTGGTTACGTCCGTGGGCTTATCATCCGTGACAACGGCTACGTCCTCTACATCCACAGATTTTTCCACGTCCGAGGTTTCAAGGGAAGTATCCACTCCGAAATCCGACAAGGCAGCCTCCTGAGCCAGCACCTCTTCAGCGATTTGGGCCAACTCCGGTGGCTTTAGTTCCGTCACCTCAGGCTCTGTCGGTACCTCCAGAGGCTTTTCTACCCTATCTGTTTCAAGCAGCACTTCCTCTTTCACCTCCGAGATTACTTCAAATACTTCTTCAGCCTTGTCTTTGAAAGGTTCAGTAGGCATCGTAACATCCACAGGTTTTTCAATTTCGGTCACATCTTTTTCGACCTCAGTTCCATCAGTTACTTCGAATGGCTTCTTCTCCGCGTCTTCAACCGCACCTGTGGCATCCACTGGCTTCTCATCCGTAATCTCAGTCAGAACCTCCACACCTACAGGTTGTTCAGCGCTCACGGTTTCAAGTGGAGTTCCCACTTCGATGTCAGACATGACGGCCTCCTGAATCGGCATCTCTTCGGCGACTTCAGCCAACTCCGATGGCTTTCGTTCCGTCACCTCGGGCTCTGTCGGTACCTCCACAGGCTTTTCCACCTCATCTGTTTCACGAACGATTTCCTCTTTCGCCTCCGAGATGACATCAAATACTTCCTCAGCCTTCTCTTTTATAGATTCAGTGGGCGTTAAAACGTCCACAGGTTTTTCAATTTCGGTCACATCTTTTTCGATCTCAGTTTCATCAGCCACTTCAAATGGCTTCATTTCCGCATCCTCAGAAACAGCTCTAACATCCAGTGGCTCCTCATCTAAGATCTCAGTAAGAACTTCTACATCTACAAGATGTTCACCGTCGGATATTTCGAGGGGAGTATCCACTTCGATGTCAGACAAGACGGCCTCCTGAATCGGTACCTCTTCGGCGACTTCGGCCAACTCCGATGACTTTCGTTGCATCACATCAGGCTGTGTCCGCATCTCTACAGACTTTTCTACCCTGTCTGTTTCAAGACGCACTTCCTCTTCCACCTCCGAGATGGCATCGATGATCTCAAAAGGCTCGTCTTGGAAAGGCTCAGCGGTTAACTCCTCGACGGGTTTTTCCATTTCGATTGCATCCGATGGAGTGCCTTTCTCCAGCTCAATTCCTTCAGTCACTTGGAGTGGCTTCTTCTCGCTGTCCTCGGCAACACCGGTGACGTCCGTGGGTTTATCATCCGTGACTGTGGTTACGTCCTCTATATCAACAGGTTTTTCCACCTCCGAGGTTTCCAAGAAAGTATCCACTCCAATATCAGACGAGGCAGCCTCCTGAGCCGACACGTCTTCGGCGACTTCAGCCAAGTCTGTTGGCTTTCGTTGCGTCACCTCAGGCTGTGTCGGCACTTTTACAGGCTTTTCTACCTCATCTGTTTTGAGCAGCACTTCCTCTTTCACCTCCGAGATGACTTCAAATATTTCCTCAGCCTTCTCTTTGATAGGTTCAGTGGGCGTCGTAACATCCACAGGTTTTTCAATTTCAGTCACATCTTTTTCGACCTCAATGCCATCAGTTACTTCGTATGGCTTCTTCTCCGCGTCTTCAGCCACACCTGTGATATCCACTGGCTTCTCATCCGTAATCTCAGTTAGAACCTCTACATCTACCGGCTGTTCAACATCAAAGGTTTTAAGTGGAGCATCCATTTCAATGTCAGACAAGACGGTTGTCTGGATCGGCACCTCCTCGGCCACGTCGGCAAACTCCGATGGCTTTCGTTCCGTCACCTCACGCTCTGCCGATACCTCCACAGGCTTTTCTACCCTATCTGTTTCAGGGAACACTTCCTCTTTCACCTCCGAGATCACTTCAAATACTTCATCAGCCTTCTCTTTGATAGGTTCAGTGGGCATCGTAACATCCAAAGGTTTTTCAATTTCGGTCACATCTTTTTCGACCTCAATTCCATCAGTTACTTCGAATGGCTTCTTCTCCGCGTCTTCAGCAACACCTGTGACATCCACTGGCTTCTCATCTGCAATCTCAGTTAGAACCTCTACATCCACAGGTTTTTCCACGTCGGAAGTTTCAAGTGGAGTACCCACTTCGATGTCAGACATGACAGCCTCCTGAACCGGCACCTCTTCGGCGACTTCAGCCAACACCGATGGCTTTCGTTCCGTCACCTCGGGCTCTGCTGGTACCTCCACAGGCTTTTCCACCTCATCTGTTTCACGGACGATTTCCTCTTTCACCCCTGAGATGACTTCAATTACTTCATCAGCCTCCCCTTTCATAGGTTCGGTAAGCATTCTAGCATCCACAGGTTTTTGAATTTCGGTCACATCTTTTCCGACCTCAATTCCATCAGTAATTGGGAATGGCTTCTTCTCTGCCTCTTCAGCAACATCTGTGACATCGACTGGCTTCTCATCCGTAATCTCAGTTAGAGCCTCTGCATCTACAGGATGTTCAACGTCAAAGGTTTTAAGTGGAGCATCCAATTCAGTGTCAGACAAGACGGTGGCCTGAGCCGACACCTCTTCGGCGACGTCGGCCAACTCCGATGGCTTTCGTTCCGTAACCACTGGCTCTGTCGGTACCTCCACAGGCTTTTCCACCTTGTCTCCGTCAAGAAAAACGTCCTCTTTCACCTCTGAGATAACATCAAAGACCTCCAAAGGCTTCTCTTGGAAGGGCTCAGCGATTGTTGCTTCCTCAACGTGTTGTTCTATTTCGATTACATGCGATGGAGGGCCCTTTTCTAGCTCAATTCCTTCAGTCACTTGGAATGGCTTCTTCTCGACGTACTCGGGAACACCTTTGACATCCACTGGCTTCTCATCCATGACAACGGTTACGCCCTCTACATCCACAGGTTTTTCCACGTCGAAGGTTTCAAGTGGAGTATCCACTTGGATGTCAGACATGACAGCCCCCGGAACCGGCACCTCTTCGGCGACTTCGGCCACCTCCGATGGCTTTCGTTCCGTCACCTCGGGCTCTGTTGGTACCTCCACAGGCTTTTCCACCTCATCTGTTTCACGAACGATTTCCTCTTTCACCTCCGAGATTACTTCAAGTACTTCCTCATCGTTCTCTTTCGTAGGTTCGGTGGGGATTGTAACATCCACAGGTTTGCCAATTTCGGTCACATCTTTTTCCACCTCAATTCCGTCAGTCACTTCGAATGGCTTCTTCTCCGCGTCTTCAGCAACACCTTTGGCATCAACTGGTTCCTCATCTGGGATGTCAGTTAAAACCTCTACATCTACAGGATGTTCAACGTCGGATGTTTTAAGTGGAATATCCATTTCCATGTCAGACAAGACAGTCGCCTGAATTGGCACCTCTTCGGCGCCTTCAACCAACTCCAATGACTTTTGTTCTGTCACCACTGGCTCTGTCGGTAACCTCCACAGGCTTTTCCACCTTGTCTCCGTCAAGAAAAACGTCCTCTTTCACCTCCGAGATGACATCAAAGACCTCCATAGGCTTCTCTTGGAAGGGTTCAACGGTTGTTGCTTCCTCAACATGTTGTTCTATTTCGATTACATACGATGGAGGGCCCTTTTCTAGTTCAATTCCATCAGTCTTTTGGAATGGCTTCTTCTCGGTGTACTCGGCAACGCCCGTGACGTCCGTGGGCCCCTCATCCGTGACAACGGTTAAGTCCTCTACATCCAGAGGTTTTTCAAAGTCCGGGGTTTCAAGGGAAGTATCTACTCCGATATCCGACAAGGCAACCTCCTGAGCCGGCACCTCTTCGGCAACGCCTGCCAACTCCGATGGCTTTCGTTCCGTCACCTCGGGCTCTGTCGGTACCTCCACAGGCTTTTCTACCCTATCTGTTTCAAGCAGCACTTCCTCTTTCACCTCCGAGATTACTTCAAATACTTCATCAGCCTTCTCTTTAATAGGTTCGGTGGGCATCGTAGCATCCACAGGTTTGTCAAATTCGGTAACGTCTTTTTCAATCTCAATTTCATCAGCCACTTCAAATGGCTTCTTTTCCGCATCCTCAGAAACAGTTCTGACATCCACTGGCTCCTCATCCAAGATCTCAGTTAGAACCTCTACATCTACAGGATGTTTAACGTCAGATGTTTCAAGGGGAGTATCCACTTCGATGTCAGACAAGACAGCCTCCTGAATCGGCATCTCTTCGGCGACTTCGGCCAACTCCGATGGCTTTCGTTGCGTCACCTCAGGCTGTGTCGGTATCTCTGCAGGCTTTTCTACCTTATCTATTTCAAGACGCACTTCCTCTTCCACCTCCGAGATGACATCGATTATCTCAAAAGGCTCGTCTTGGAAAGGCTCAGCGGTTGTTAAATACTCGACGGGTTTTTGTATTTCGATTACATCCGACGGCGTGCCCTTCTCTAGCTCAATTCCTTCAGTCACTTGGAACGGCTTCTTCTCGATGTCCCCAGCAACACCCGTGACGTCCGTGGGTTTATCATCCGTGACACCAGTCACGTCCTCTACATCCACGGGTTTTTCCACGTCGGAGGTTTCAAGTGGAGTATCCACTTCGATTTCAGACATGACAGCCCCCTGAACAGGCACCTCTTCGGCGACTTCGGCCACCGCCGATGGCTTTCGTTCCGTCACCTCGGGCTTTGCTAGTACCTCCACGGGCTTTTCCACCGCATCTGTTTCACGAACGATTTCCTCTTTCACCTCCGAGATTACTTCAAGTACTTCCTCATCGTCCTCTTTCGTAGGTTCGGTGGGGATTGTAACATCCACAGGTTTGCCAATTTCGGTCACATCTTTTTCCACCTCAATTCCGTCAGTCACTTCGAATGGCTTCTTCTCCGCGTCTTCAGCAACACCTTTGGCATCAACTGGTTCCTCATCTGGGATGTCAGTTAAAACCTCTACATCTACACGATGTTCAACGTCGGATGTTTTTAGTGGAATATCCATTTCCATGCCAGACAAGACAGTCGCCTGAATTGGCACCTCTTCGGCGCCTTCAACCAACTCCAATGACTTTTGTTCCGTCACAACTGGCTCTGTCGGTACCTCCACAGGCTTTTCCACCTTGTCTCCGTCAAGAAAAACGTCCTCTTTCACCTCCGAGATAACATCAAAGACCTCCATAGGCTTCTCTTGGAAGGGTTCAACGGTTGTTGCTTCCTCAACATGTTGTTCTATTTCGATTACATACGATGGAGGGCCCTTTTCTAGTTCAATTCCATCAGTCTTTTGGAATGGCTTCTTCTCGGTGTCCTCGGCAACACCGGTGACGTCCGTGGGCCCCTCATCCGTGACAACGGTTAAGTCCTCTACATCCAGAGGTTTTTCAAAGTCCGGGGTTTCAAGGGAAGTATCTACTCCGATATCCGACAAGGCAGCCCCCTGAGCCGGCACCTCTTCGGCAACGCCTGCCAACTCCGATGGCTTTCGTTCCGTCACCTCGGGCTCTGTCGGTACCTCCACAGGCTTTTCTACCCTATCTGTTTCAAGCAGCACTTCCTCTTTCACCTCCGAGATTACTTCAAATACTTCATCAGCCTTCTCTTTAATAGGTTCGGTGGGCATCGTAACATCCACAGGTTTGTCAATTTCGGTAACGTCTTTTTCAATCTCAATTTCATCAGCCACTTCAAATGGCTTCTGTTCCGCATCCTCAGAAACAGTTCTGACATCCACTGGCTCCTCATCCAAGATCTCAGTTAGAACCTCTACATCTACAGGATGTTTAACGTCAGATGTTTCAAGGGGAGTATCCACTTCGATGTCAGACAAGACAGCCTCCTGAATCGGCATCTCTTCGGCGACTTCGGCCAACTCCGATGGCTTTCGTTGCGTCACCTCAGGCTGTGTCGGTATCTCTGCAGGCTTTTCTACCTTATCTATTTCAAGACGCACTTCCTCTTCCACCTCCGAGATGACATCGATTATCTCAAAAGGTTCGTCTTGGAAAGGCTCAGCGGTCGTTAAATCCTCGACGGGTTTTTGTATTTCGAATACATCCGACGGCGTGCCCTTCTCTAGCTCAATTCCTTCAGTCACTTGGAACGGCTTCTTCTCGATGTCCTCAGCAACACCCGTGACGTCCGTGGGTTTATCATCCGTGACACCAGTCACGTCCTCTACATCCAGAGGTTTTTCCACGTCGGAGGTTTCAAGTGGAGTATCCACTTTGATTTCAGACACGACAGCCTCCTGAACAGGCACCTCTTCGGCGACTTCGGCCACCTCCAATGGCTTTCGTTTCGTCACCTCGGGCTCTGGTGGTACCTCCACAGGCTTTTCCACCTCATCTGTTTCACGAACGATTTCCTCCTTCACCTCCGAGATGACTTCAAATACTTCCTCATCTTTCTCTTTCGTAGGTTCGGTGGGCATTGTAACATCTACAGGTTTTTCAATTTCGGTCACATCTTTTTCGACCTCAATTCCATCAGTTATTTCGAATGGCTTCTCCTCCGAGGCTTCAGCAACACCTGTGACATCCACTGACTTCTGATCCGTAATCTCAGTTAGAACCTCTACATCTACCGGCTGTTCAACGTCAAAGGTTTTAGGTGGAACATCCATTTCAATGTCAGACAAGACAGTCGCCTGAATTGGCACCTCTTCGGCGACGTCGGCCAACTCCGATGGTTTTCGTTCCGTCACTTTAGGCTCTGTCGGTACCTCCACAGGCTTTTCCATCTCGTCTTCTTCAAGAAAAACGTCCTCTTTCACCTCCGAGATAACATCAAAGACCTCCAAAGTCGTTTCTTGGAAGGGCTCAGTGGTTGTTGGTTCCTTGACAGGTTTTTCTGTTTCGGTCATATCCGATGGAATGTCCTCTTTGAGTTCAATTCCTTCAGTCACTTGGAATGGCTTCTTTTCGGTGTCCTTGGCAAGCCCAGTGACGTCCGTGGGCTTCTCATCCGTGACAATGGTTAGGTGTTTTACATCCACAGGTTTTTCAACGTCTGAGGATTCCAAGGAAGTATCCACTCCCATATCCGACGAGGCAGCCTCCTGAGACGGCACCGCCAACTCCAGTGGCTTCCGTTCCGTCACCTCGGGCTCTGGTGGTACCTCCACAGGCTTTTCCACCTCATCTGTTTCACGAACGATTTCCTCTTTCACCCCCGAGATGACTTCAAATTCTTCCTCAGCCTCCTCTTTGATAGGTTCGGTGGGCCTCGTAACATCCACAGGTTTTTCAATTTCGGTCACATCTTTTTCCACCTGAGTTCCATCAGTCACTTCGAATGGCTTCTTCTCTGCATCCTCAGAGACATTTCTCACATCCACTGGCTCGTCATCCGTAACTTCAGTTACGACCTCTACATCTACAGGCCGCTCCACGTCAGATGTTTCAAGTGGAGTATCCACTTCGATGTCAGACAAGACAGCCTCCTGAACCCGCACCTCTTCGGCGACTTCAGCCAACTCCAATGGCTTTCGTTTCGTCACCTCGGGCTCTGCTGGTACCTCCACAGGCTGTTCCACCTCATCTGTTTCACGAACGATTTCCTCTTTCACCTCCGAGATTACTTCAAGTACTTCCTCAGCCTCCTCCTTGATAAGTTCGGTGGCCATTGTATCATCCACAGGTTTTTTAATTTCGGTGACATCTTTTTCGACCTCAATTCCATCAGTTACTTCGAATGGCTTCTCCTCCGCGTCTTCAGCAACACCTGTGACATTCATTGGCTTCTCATCCGTAATCTCAGTTAGAACCTCGACATCTACCGGCTGTTCAACGTCGAAGGTTTTAAGTGGAGCATCCATTTCAATGTCAGGCAAGACAGTCGCCTGAATTGGCACCTCTTCGGCGACGTCGGTCAACTCCGATGGCTCTCGTTCCGTCACTTTAGGCTCTGTCGGTACCTCCACAGGCTTTTCCATCTCGTCTTCTTCAAGAAAAACGTCCTCTTTCACCTCCGAGATAACATCAAAGACCTCCAAAGTCGTTTCTTGGAAGGGCTCAGTGGTTGTTGGTTCCTCGACAGGTTTTTCTGTTTCCATCATATCCGATGGAGCGTCCTCTTTGAGTTCAATTCCTTCAGTCACTTGGAATGGCTTCTTTTCGGTGTCCTCGGCAGCACCGGTGACGTCCGTGGGCTTCTCATCCGTGACGATGGTTAGGTGTTTTACATCCACAGGTTTTTCAACGTCCCAGGTTTCGAAGGAAGTATCCACTCCGATATCCGACAAGGCAGCCTCCTGAGCCGGCACCTTTTCGGCGACTTCGGCCGACTCGGTCACAGCGGTTAAATTGACTACGTCCGCAGACGTTTGCTCTTCAGATGCTTTCAAAGGACTTCGCGCTTCAATCTCAGGACCCGCCTGCCTGGTAGGCTGACTCCTCTTCTGTGAGTTTGACCAACTTCACTGGCGTCTCTGAAATCACCTCAGGGAGTGCCGTTAGGTCTGTAGGTTTTTCCACTTCATCTGCTTCGAGAGGAAGTTCCTTTTCCACCTCAGAAACGTCTGTTTTCTTGGATGGTGTCACTTCGATACCCTCGTCACTGTCAAGGATCGTCAATTCGGGCTGCTTCTTTTCGGTATCATCACCAACACGTTCAGGCTGCTCGTCAGTTACCTCGGTTACTACCTCTATACCCACATATTTTTCTTGAGATGTTTGCAGGGGCGTAAGCACTTCCATCTCAGCAATATCCGTCTCCTGGACAACCACCTCATCGGCGACGCCGGTCACCTCCACCGGTGTGTCTTTCTCAACTTCAAGTGGCGCTGCTAAATCTGTAGGTTTTTCTGTCTCATCTTGTTTTGAAGGAGTCGCCCTTTCCACCTCAAACTCGCCAATTTTCTCGGCCGGTTTCCCTTCGCTGCCTTCATCACCATCTAACTCGCCACTTTCCTGAATGGCCTCTCCAACATCGCCCTGTGCATTGTCCGTGGATGCCGTAACCGACATTGGTTTCCCAGAGTCATACTTTTGCAAACAAATATCCCGTTCGATTTCTGTTTTGGCAGCTTCTTGAACCGGATGCGTCTCGAATTCTGTCGATGGTTTACCCTCCTCGAAGTCTGTTTCGGCAGGTTTCTTGATCTCATGGACAATGTCCGCGTCTCTCAATATCTCTTCCTCACTCACCTCAGTTAGCACGGTCACCTCCACGGGTGTCCGGATGAGTGCTTCGTCAGTAGCGTCAGGAGTTTCGACTTTCTCGTCGATGATTTCAATGGCGCCAATCTCCCGCGGTTGTCGCTCAAGGGTTCTGTCGGTCGCTTTCGACATGACTAATGATGTCTCCTGATCCACCTCAACAAACACAGTTGCCCCCACTGGTCTCCCAATTTCAGTCGTTTCAAGTACCTGTATTTCCCCGATATCACGGAAGGTCGTTTCAGAATCTTGTCGACTGTCCAGAAGACCAACATCCTGGCGGCCTGATGTGTCATGAATTCGGTCGATGTGATGCTTGCGGTCTTCTGCCATCGCATCGATGACAGACTCAATTTCTTCTTCAAGCCCCATCTCGCTGACAACGGGTGAATGTACCTCTTCCAACTCGGGTTTGGTCTCTCTCATTTCCAAATATGCTTCAGCTGGTCTTGGGCTTTCTACAGTGTCCACTTGCGAAGGCGCTGGCTTGACAGGTTCCACGTCGTAGACCTCCACCTCTGTGGTGACATGGATTACCTTTTCGACCGGAGACCGCCGCTCCTCTGGCTCGAGCCGTTCTGCCGAGCCCACCTCCAGTTCTTTGTCTAGTTCCAGCTCCTCCCCAGAGCCCACACTGTGGCGATCCTGCTCGCCTGTGTCATCTGTCTTCTCCGTGTCACTGGCGAGAGCCTCCGCCAGAAAGGAGGGCACTTCGTTACCTCTGCCCATCACAAAGTCCATAAGCTGTGCACTCTCGGAGTCGATGATCCTCTCGCTCACCAGCTGCACGCCTCCGGTCTCCCGCGGGCTCACTCCCCGCTCGGACCACGATTCAACACACACGCCCTCATCAGGGACCCCCAGCCCGCCTTGGTCGTCACCCACCTTGTCCTCGTACCGTCCTTCGTCGACGTCGTCGTACACCACGTGGACGACACGATCTCGTATCGTTTCGCCAGTCGTTTCGTCGTGATCTGGAGCTTCACCGGCCGTAACAGCTCGGTGCGGTAGGACATGGTCACCATCGTCGGCTGGCGCCGGCCGCAATATCACAGTGTCACTAACCTGAAGTGGAATGTGCTGATCACCAGCATCTACCTGAGATTCTACGAGAGAACTAACGTCGGTCGGAAAATCGACCCGGTCCTCCCGCACGTCCAGCGGCCTGACCCCCTTAACACCAGCGTCCCCCTCGTCCTCCATCTCCTCCCCCTCATCCATTCTCATCCCGTCATCGTCCCACAGTTCGTGGATCAAAGGACTGGTCGTGTGATCATCGCGCTCCGGTCGCTGTGTGCCAAAGTCAGCCTCGAAAAACTCGCGCTGCACAGGACTCGAACCCGCGTCGGCCACCGAGATCTCGTCTGTCTCGGTGCCCACATCGAACGACTCCCAGTGCACCGGACTGGTGCCCGAATGCATAACGTCACAGACCAGCGTCTCGGCATCGACCTCGTCTGCCGGCAGCTCGAGGGGCGAGAGGCCAACGCTCACCGCTTCCGTGTGGATGGGGCTCGCGTCCGAGGCGGTCAGCTCGCGCTCGGCGCTGGCCGACGGCTCCTCGTCGCGCGAGGCCGAGCCGTCGGCAGGCTCCGAGGAGCGTAGTTGGAAGTCGCTGATGATGCCCGTGTCGGGCGTGACGGCGGGCACGCTTTCGGAGCGTGAGCCGGGCGTGTCGCCGTCGGTCCAGCGCTCCGGGCGCCGGCTCAGGCGCGTCGCTACCACAGAGGACTCGGGGCGTAGGCTGGACGGGCGCTCGGGATGAGGATCGGCGGGCACGCGCGCGGTCACGTCGGAAGCTCCAGTGACAGAGTCAACGATAGATGTCGCCACAATCGCGTGAGTTCGACCCACAGGGTCGACAACGGGTGACTCTAAAGTCGCGGGCGCTCGGCTGTCCGAGACGGCAATGGACGTTTCGGTGGAGGCGGCGTCCGGCCGGCCGGCCGGACTTGGCGCCTGGTCGGCGGACGTTCCGGCCGTCTCCGGTGTCGGCACCTGACCCCAGGTCACCGACACGGCGCGGCTCTCTCTGACCTGCGCGACCGTGAGCGGTCCTGATGCCGGCACAGAGGGAGAAAAACACACACAGTTAGCAGCCGCAGTCGCCAGCACAGCTCGACGGAGTGACGTCACGCGCGCGTCTGCGGTGTGACGTCACGATGACCGGTCAGTGACCTTTTCAAATTTTGCGTTCTGATCCGGTTTTTTTGCCATCAGAATTCCTTGAACTCCCTTGCGCTACAGTTAGGGACTAAGGAGCAGAGGCTAGCAGGGAGCACGAAGCTGAACAAAACATGAACGCAAAACCATAGACAAATATGTATGTTAGCTCGGACCCGGATAGTTAAGGTCATCTTCCGGTCAGAACAAAAAGGCCTTCATCGTCAGACGAGCAAATGAAATCGAGACAGGTCATGATGTTCGGACGAGTCCTCTGCTTTTAAAGCTAGGTAAAACGCCTAGTCTATAGCAAATGTTACGGACGGCGACACTTTAACGTTTGTTTTACAGGTAGCTGGTTAATTGTGTGCGCATTGATGCGGTTGGTTAGACGAGCAACACCCGTGTTGCGGCCGGCAGTGCCCCCAGCAGCGGCACTGCCGCCTCGTCCCAAGCCGAGCCGTTAGGCCCCCAGCCACGAGAGCCAGACAAAATCGCGAGAGAAGTGATGTATGGCCCGACAGCCGATGCCGATCTTCCCTCGCTGCCCAACTCTGCCAGTGAGGAGAGCAAACCAAAGAAAACACGGAGTCGACTCGAACAGAACAAAGCAGGTTCGCTGCCGGCGGCGCCTGCCGAGGGGCGCCCACCTGGGCGGCGGCCGGCCGCCGGCGGCCCGGCCGCTCCCGGCTCCCGGCCCCCGGCGCCCAACTTGAAGGTCGACTCGGGTCAACCAAAGGAAACGCCGGTGGGCCGCTCCGCGAAACTGACCAACAGAACGCGCCGGCGAGGCGACACACTTACCTGGAACTCAACATACAGAGGAGGAGGCCATCCTGGCGGGCGGCAGTACTCAAATAACACGGCTGGACGAGAGTTCGCCTGGCACATTGGCTCGTGCAGTCCAAATGCGCCAAAATTTGGAGTTGGTTAGTGAAACCACACGCAGTCAGCGTGAACACGGGGAGAACTGCAAGTCGGTGGTAAACCAGCCCAACACCACTCGGATGGTATTCGTTCAGTGTTGAACAATCAAAACAACATTAATTGAGGTAAAGGGGTCTCGGTATCTCACAACTTTGCAGACAGCCGTGTGGCATCTGGTGCAATGATATAACAAACGGTCGAAACAGAGAACGCAGGGTAGGTCACCGCCTGCCATCCACAATTGGCTTAAGTTTTCGCAATGGCGATAGAATCTGCGTACCGTTAAGTTCTCCCGCTTCGATCAATGTTGTTCAAAACGTTTAATTTCTTCCCTGTTAAAAATACGAGACGTTAAGATACAGGCTGCAAAACAAACGGACGAAACTTCGGGTAAACTCATGAGGTGTTTTGTATGGATAAGTTGGTTTGTGTTATTTGAGTACTGGAAGACGGGAAGGTGGTAGCATTCAATCACATCCACGTGAACCATCCCCGTCTCAAGGTCGATTGCGTCACACGCAGTCCCGCGGGGTGACGCCTCACATGTGCCGACGTTTGAGACGGGTCTGGTCACTTCACCACAACATCTAGCTGCTGAAATTGAGTGACATGTTGATTACCCAGAAATTTCTGAATTGTGCCACAAAAGGCAGACACCAAATGTCATACTTTTTAATTATCAAATGTCACCGAATTCCAGCAAGTTCGAAAGCCGCAACAGGCACCGCCAGCCAGGAAGTTTGATGGCAATATCACCATGGCAACCGGTTTAAAGGACCAATCGGAATTCAGCCAAACGCCATGACGGTTAAGAAGAGCCAACCAGCGAGGGGCCTCGTGCAACGGTGGAAGTTAATCGGTCCACATGCGAACGCTCGAATTTTCTTCGGTTACTAACCGGCCATAGTTCAGCGGAACAGTTCGCTCGAAAACCAGTGCAACACCGGACGGCCGGGGCCGACACACCGCGACAAACGGAGGCCGGCCGGCGCCGCGCGCACGGCGTCGCCCCACCGCCCCGAGCGGGCTGGGCCGGCGGCGCGGACCGGGACGGGCCGGCTCACACAGCACATTGACAGGGCGCGCAGGCATGAACGCACGAGCTGGCGACGCAGGGCCGGCGATTGGAAGCAGGCGCGGCGACAGTGTGCGGCGGCGGTGTGCGGCGGCGGCGGTGAGCGGCAGTGAGCCGCGCGTGGTGTGACCGTGCTACAGTGAGCTGCGCTGAGCCTCTGAGAGCTGACCGACGGACAGTGACCATGTGCTAGACAAAGCACAGGCGCTGGCGAAAAACAACCTTTGAAGTGTTGGTCGCGCAGGCATGGTCGACGCCAATTTGACATCAAGAGCCGCCATTCCAGTTTGAAAGAAGACACGCAGCTGATGGTGAAGCCCTAAACACGCTTTTTTGTGGTAATATCCAAGGTGAATGAAGGTCATTGGTCAGTGACCAGAAAATATAAACAAAATTATAGAAATAAACCTCAATAGTTTTTGAGAAGGGAAGGACCAGAATTTCGTTGAGGAAAGACACACCCTGTGGTAACCCTTTCCAGGTTCGAAATGCAACAGGAAGGAGAATTGTTTCCTTGATATAACGGTTACAGACAATTTGAACGGCTGTTTCACACTCAACCAATGTTTTCCTGTGCGAAAGGCACAACAAATACCCGAACTAATTGACTTTGATGGTGCACCAACGTCAATATGTTGTCCACCGCCGACGCTCCGCGTACGACGGACACCATCGTAATAAAACAGTCTGCTTCCATTCGCGAGGTGTCGGCGTTGGGGGCTTAATACATTGATGCCTGCGGCCGCGGCCAGCGCGTGTGAGGCGGCCCAGTCCGGCGGTGCGGTGCCGGCGTGCGGCCGCTGTACAGACCGACCCATGTCCCGCTCCGGCGCACGAGGCATGTACTGCGGGTCACGGCGGCGCGCTGCTCGGTGACGAGAGCTCGTTAGTGGAAGCTTTATTCAGCATGCAGTTTGGGTCGGGCGGGGCCGGGCGGGGCGGAGCGGGGCCGGAAATCAGGGGACGGTGGCGGCTCAGCCGGCCGGACCCAGTCCAGACACACGGCCCGCGGCGACCGCTGGCGGCACGACGGAAACAGGCTGGCGGAGGGGGCAGGGGGGGGGGGACTTCCCGCGGCGAGGCCGGCCACCTCCGGGCCGCAGCCTGGGTAGATCGCACCCACTCCCGGGTCCTCGTTTCGGCCAGTAAGTCCCAGGCGAATAACGTGTGAACGTGTGAACGTGTGGACGAGAACGTGGCGTGGGATCTCGACACAAGCGCGTTGACAACACCGCAAACCCGCAGCACTGTGTCGCCCACCCCAGGAGCAGGCTCCAGTCCCTGCAGCGGCGGCACCAGCAGCCTACTCAGCTGAGGCGCTGCGGGTGCCAGAGGCGGCTCCGGCGCCGCCCGCCTTACCGACTACAGACTCCGGCGGGTGTGTCGAGCGGTGGGAGCGGTCCCAGGGCTGCGGAGCTCAGCGTCGCCGGCCAAGTGGGACGGCCCGCCGCCGGGCGCCGGCGTCCGTCCTACGGCCTCCGATCGACCCAGTGATCCTGTTACCCCGGGGCGCAGCTCGGCTGCCCGCGCCCCATCCCCACCCCCATCTCCAGGGCTGTGCTCGGCGGAGGCAGCGGGCCCGGACCACCCCTGCAGCGGCGTACCCCGGGGGCGTGAGGATAGTGGCATGACACCTGTGTGGATGCGTAAGGGGAGGGGCTCTCCGGGGGCTGCCCGTGATCTCGCATCTCAGCATGAAGCTCCATTCCCCTGATGCGACACTTGAACACCTGAACGTCGCCAGGTCTGAACTCATCCAGACATGACTTAATGGCCCAGACTGGATGTGATTACTATATTCTTACGTATGTCAAGGCCTTGAAATACATACGAGTATATCTACTGCACCCAATGTTAGCGTGGCAAACCTAACTGAAGGTATTATCACTTGGGTTGGTACCACGACTTAGTGTTACCGGTGTCTGAACTTTCCCGCAGCAACATAGAGAACATGGTGACGTTATTTACCGTCGTCTATGGCTGCTCACTTGGCTAAAATATTGGCAGGAATGGTTCAGAGCCTGACTTCGAAGAAATTTTGACAGGCATCAGCCCGCTGGCCAGGTCAGCGCGTGCCTGTGCTGTGTGCGCGCCGTGTCCGTGTCGTGTCCGTGGCGTGTCCGCGCCTGAGCCCGTCCCGCCAGCGGCGATGTCCCGGTGCCCGTAGCCGGCTAATGACGCTGCCCGCCCGACGGGGAGGAGAGGGGGGCAGACAGGAGTGCCGTCAGTGGTCACCGCCGGCTCCGGCCGGACCGAGGGGGTCGGGACGCAGGGAACAGAGCGATAAGGGGAGGGGGCGTATTGGCGAGAAGCGGTTCACAAGACCAGACGCCGGCGGCGCACGTACCTTCAGAGGCGAGGCGCTGAGCCAAGTCAGAGTCACCTGAAACAGGGAGCACAGGGTCACAGCAGGTTCACGGACGTTGGGGTCGGAGGGTCACACGAGGTCACGGGCGTTGGGGGTCAGATGGTCACAGGATCATGGACGCTAAGGCCACAGGGTCGCGCTAGGTCACGGACGCAGGTCAAAGGGGAGTCACAGCCGCTAACGTTACAGGGTCATAGGGGGTCGCGGTCGCCAAGGGTCTCGAGGTCCAGACATTGGGGGTCACAGGGTCACGACTTTTGCGAGGCCACCATTAACATGGGTCACGACTTATGGGACGGGGCTTCCGTCACAAGGTTCATTTATGACCTCCAGGGGGAGGGAGACCCACCACACAACTCACGACCGCAGGGATGAGATTATTGGGAGTAGCGGCTCTGGCTGGCGGAAATGAGACGCTCAGTCTGACGGGTCACGAGGTCGGTCACGGGAGGCCGAACAGGCAGGTGATGTGTGATTTCATTTGGATTTTGGGACGCAGCCAATCCAACGTGCATTTCCACTCGCAGCAGGAGCGGCAGTACGTGGAGACAGTAGTTATGGCAAAACCCCGCCAGGGAGGCGCGATGTGCATCCGCTTCACGTTGGGCCGGGCCTCAGATAGTCCCGCCATTGTAAGACACAAACACTATTCTCAAAGGCATTCTCCATGTAGACATGGGAATCGATGTCAAGTCCACAAGATACCGCACATTAACATGGTCTTCAAAGCGTGTGTCCCGGGTCACGGCCACGACATGCTGTGCCGTCTCCAGCGAGACGCGTACCTCCGACTGTGGTGGTGGTGATGGTCGTTGACTTCTGAACAAGTCTTCCATCGTCGGTTACGGATTCGCTCGTTTGTTGCTGTACGGTGGTTTTACTGCCATCTGCGGAAGATATTACAACGTGCCGTTAGCTACTGTACGCAAACCTTTCAAACCACTATGGTTTTGAGGTCCATCCCTGAAGAGCTCTCAGGGATGGACCCCAATGCTAGTGCAAATGCCGGCGACGGCTCAGGGCAACAATGCAATGGTCCTGAGTGGTCAATGGTCCCAAGGGGTTTCACTCAGTCTGTGCCTCGACGCCACCCAGCCTAAAGCTCGTCCCACCCAGCCTGGACCTCGCCCCACCCGGCCAGGACCTCATCCCACCCAGCCAGGACCTCGTCCCACCCAGCCAGGACCTCGTCCCACCCAGCCAGGACCTCGTCCCACCCAGCCAGGACCTCGTCCCACCCAGCCAGAACCTCATCCCACCCAGCCAGGACCTCGTCCCACCCAGCCAGGACCTCGTCCCACCCAGCCTGGACCTCGTCTACACCAAGCCAGGACCTCGTCCACACCAAGCCTGGACCCAGAGTCCGCCCAGTAGGACCCGACCCTTGAGCCGCTGCAATGACAGCGCAGGGCAGACACGGGGCCGGACGTCTGTGGCGCGGCTGACCAGGGGGCACCACCGGCCGTCAGACGGTCACGAGCGTCACCGCCGCACACCAGACGCACTTCCCGCAGAGCTTGCACCCGCTGGGGATTCGAAAGGGTAGCATCCTGCGGGTATTCGAGAGGGTAGGACATACTGACTATTCGAGAGGGTAGAACCCTCTGGATCTTCGAGAGGGCAACGCCCGCTGGGTATTCGAGAGGGTAGAACCCTCTGGGTATTCGAGAGAGCAACACCCGCTGGGTATTCGAGAGGGTAGAACCCTCTGGGTATTCCGGAAAGCAACACCCACTGGGTATTCGAGAGGGCAGAACCCACTGGGTATTCAAGAGGGCAACACCCGCTGGGTATTTGAGAGGGCAGAACCCTCTGGGCATTCGAGAGGGCAACACCCACTGGGTATTCGAGAGGGCAGAACCCTCTGGGTATTCGAGAGGGCAACACCCGCTGGGTATTTGAGAGGGCAGGACCCAGTGGGTGCTCCATCACCTGGGCCTCAGCCATGGTGTCATTCCCGGCCCCGTCGCCAGAGGGCAGGCCGGCGGACGGAGGGGCGTCGGCCACGGAGCGAACCGACAGGTTCCCGGGGCCGCCACTGAAGCCGCTGCCGCTGGCCCGGGGTCAGGGAACGTCACGGCCCGGTGCCATCGACCGAGACCGCCCCCAGCCCTCACCCCGCGGGGACGAACCGGTCCGGACGACACCGCCACAGAGAAGCATCACCCAAACGCCGGCCGTCCTCATGTGGATAGCAGTATTAACGTGAAGGGATCAAAGCGTTCACCTACTTGCCACCGTGAGCCAGGCCAGGATTGCTGATCATGTACGAGGCACTAAGTCAGTGCAAAAACAGCGTTCTATCTCAAGCTCTACCCGCCAAAGGACTTAACGGCCAACACCCACAGCAGGGCCCAGACATAGTGAAGTGGTTGAGCGGACGTGTCAGGAGTGAAGTTGATTACTTTCGATGCCGGCACAACTCAGACTGTGCGGAAAACCTGGCTGTTCACCGAGCGCAAGATCAGGAACGAACCAGAGGAGATTGACGCCCTTCTCAGGTATTCCTCGCAGCGAGAAGCATCAATGTCAAGCCCCAAACGGCATCCCCGGCAGAATGCAACGATGCCAGCAGATCACACCCGGTGGCAGCCCCTCTCCCAGCATGTAACAAGTACGGCGGCGCTGTTACGAGGACATCGCTGTGGGTCGAATGACGGCCAGGAGAACAAACACCAGAAGCCCTCCACCCAGAGGCAGCCATGCGGGTTTTAACAGGAAACGACCAAGCGCCCGGACAAGAACAAACAAAAAACCAAAGCGCAGGGCAGCGTAAGGGAAAACGACCAAGCATACACACGGAGGTGCGCGGGAAACGCCCCAGCGCACTAAACCATATGTTAAAAACGGCCCAGCACACAGCGGCACGCCACCAGGGCCGTACCTGCCGGCGGGGACGGCTCCAGCTCGGTGGGGGTGGAGGGGGGTGTGGGGGCGCGGCGCGCCTCGTCACCTGCGTGCCGGGCCAGAGTCAGAGTCAGCCGCGCCGGGGCTTCGCTGACGGCCGGGCACGGCGCCGGCCGCCGGGCTGGTGGCAGCGCGAGGCGTGGCCCATACAGCGACGGGGATTCGGAGCCAGTTCAGCAGGCAGTGCATGGTGCAACGGACCGGCGCCTCTCCGGGTCACCGCAGCGCCCGTGGCGCACCGGCCGGTGAGTGATGCTCAACACGGGCACGGCGGCCAGCCAGACGCGTGAGAGAAGGCCTTGCAGCGGCCCCTTCTACCGTCACGCTTCTACCGCTAAACGGACCACCGGGCGGCAAAACGGCACCGCCAGACGCTGGGAAACGGGTCAGAGGGCTGGAAATTACGCCCCGGGGCGGTCTGACTGCTGGTGACAGATTGTGGGGCGCGCGCGCCACGAGCCGCGGGGACCGGGAGGCCGCCTGGGCCACTGGAGGGCGGTGAGGGGTGCCCTCCGTTCCCGAGTGCTGAGGGTTGAGGGTGCTCTCCGATCTCGGGTGTTGAGGGGTGAGGGGTGCGGGTGCTCTACGATCTCGGGTGTTGAGGGGTGAGGGGTGCTCTCCAATCTCGGGTGTTGAGGGTTGAGGGTGCTCTCCGATCTCGGGTGCTGAGGGGTGAGGGGTGCTCCCAGGGACCGGGTGCTGACGGGTGTGGGGCCCTGCCCGGTTTCGCGCGCCGGCGGCGGACTGACGCTGACGTACCGGGAGCCGCTTGTGTGCGGACGGCCGAGGTCGGCACGATCATGGCCGCCTGTGGTGGGCGACTTGAGGCCCTTCTTCTCGGACACCATGACTGGCTCGTCCACCACCGGCTCGTCTGCAACAGGAACACGGGTCCGGTCAGGTCGGGTCAGGTCAGGTCAGCTCAGCTCAGCTCAGCTCAGCTCAGGCCAGACACGGCAGGACAGCCCCCAACGCAACGGACACTTCGCCTAACATCGCCGGTGAGCGCAGCGTCACTGGAGACACGGCCGAGGCGGACCGTGCGGGCCGCGTGACACCAAGTCAGGTAAGGTCAGGTCAGACCGCGGCCGCTGGTGTCCGGGCGGTCGCCGGTCTGGTGGCGGCCTCGGGGCTGAGCGGACAGGGGACTGGGAGCGCGCGGTCGGTCGGCGAGGGCCAGCGGGCCGACAGGGACAGCTCGCCACCCCGACGAGGCGCCCCGTCACCGCTCTGTCTCCCGACTGCTGCGGAGAGGGCGCCGTAGTGGGTGGCATGCTTACGCACATGCAGACACACGCGCACACGCAAGGGCCAACACGGACCACACGCTCGCACCATCACCATCGCATCGCTCCGGTCCCATTATCATCGTTCGCACATGAACGGGCCACAAACCAGCCGGTGCACAGCCCAGCTGCGTGACGGCAGGCATACGGAGCACACATGTCACACGGTCGTGTAACCCAAGGGTCTTGGCGAACATTATGGCGTGTCCACTCCATCGCTGACAAATACGGCACGTCGCGTCCCTAATAAGCATCTGCACTTGCATTGCTCCTTTTCCAGCGAAGTTTTTACGTTAGAGACATTGCGGCATGGCCCGTTGCATCAGATAGCAGTGCGGCCTCGCAGACAACAGCGCATTAACCCAAAAAACAACGACGTCTCGATGGCGTGGCCACATGCAAACGGCGCAAAACATAACACGCTCACAGATAAGCAGGCGGTAATTCAGCCGCAGTGCCATCCGCACAGCGCCGGCCGTGTTTGCGCGGCGAATGAGGCGCATCTAATCCGAACAACATCCCAGGGCTGCCGGCGACTGATAAGCTCCCCGGCATTTCCGCACACACGAGCAATGCGTCCGAAACGATTTCCACAGGATGGAGCTCGTTTGAGGCAATCTACAGTAGCGCTCCATCTACAGTAGCGCCGACGACCTGTTGATACTGCTCAAGACCTGCTCATCCCCAGCCGGCTGAGCAGCCCGCGTGAGGTCGGGGTGGGGCCTACACCTGGCACGTTAGCACGGCGCTGCACGTACACGTCTGACCAACAGCTGACTGCGGCACACCCAGGGACGTGAAGCTGGGCAACAACCGTACGGACTGGCACAAACGTGCGGGGCCGCGAGGCGACGGGCGCATGAGGCGCTCATGTTCGCGCGCGAGGGGCGGCCATCATGAGCCGTGTTACACCTCTGTGTTCGGCGTGAAGGACGGGGGACTGGGCCGGTGCCCTGCACGGCACGTTGGCCGGGCAGACCGGGGCGCCGCCGGCCGCCTCGCGTCGCCACGTGCGCCGGCGGCGGCACGCGCGTCCGTCCATCGTCCGCGCCGCCCGTCACACCCATCCGTCCGCCCCGGGACACCCTCGGCACGGTCAGGCCCCGGACAGTCCCCCCGACAGGGACTGATGGGAGGGTCTGGCCTCTGCTCCCCACCATTGGAGAGCAGGCGCAGCAGATGCTCCTCCTTCGTAGCGAAAAGAGATAGGTGGATTGGTTCACCACCAGTGAAAGGAAAAGCGAGAAACTAGGTCGTCCGTTGAACCGGGGTGAGCTTTTCGGTTTTCCCCACCCTGGGCCCCTCATATAACAGTTGAAGTACTATTTCTGCACCACGTCGCTTTGTGTTACGTTGGTCGCCTGTGCCATCTAGCGTCCGATAAGAACACTAACAGCGCGTGCATTCCATTGCGTACGGCGGCCGACGAGGGACAATGCAATGATACTATCGACGCTGTCACGAAAATGAATGTTCCCGTTCTGACGGAAGAATGCAGCCAAACATACACGCGAACAGAAACACTGACTTCGTCACGCAGCAAACAATGGCGGAAACACGCAGAGATGCAAGCCGCATTCACGCTGCGCAGCCTGCGCTTGCATCAGCTTCAGTTAGGCCCGGACGCGCTCCAACTTCGGAAGCTGGGGCCACCGGTGCATTCGCAGGTGTTACAACATGGAGCGCGGCCAGCGAAGCCGGTCGAGAGCGCGACACTCTCCGCCAGGGGTCTGACCGGCCTCCGTCGGCGGGCACGCACACGCAGCGCGCGTCTGGCCCGAGAGCGCCCTCCGTCGGCGGGCACGCACACGCAGCACGCGTCTGGCCCGAGAGCGCGGGGCGCTTACACGGCCGGGCCGTGGGCCGAGTTCCCACGGGTTGAAGTGACCTTGAGGAGGGTCCAGATGGCGGAGACCGCTGCTGACAGATCCTCTCCGGTCCCGTGCCCAGCGTGCCGCCTAAATAACCACCGTCCGGGCCGGCTCGAGCTCTGCCGCGGCTGCCGCGCCGGCGCTCACAGGCACATGCACATGCGCAGAACTAGAGATACGGGGACAGCCGAGGCATGCCCGCACGCCGGTAACAATGTCGCCATAGTGTGGACGGCCGACGCGTCCCCGCTTATCCTAAAATAACGCGTTACGCTCGTGGCGTCGCACGGAAAGCATTCCTCTGAAACGTTCTTCACCGCTCTCGGAAACGCAAGCCCGTTGGCGACACCTCTACCCCCGCTACACACCACACACACACAGAGAAAGAGAGAGTGAGAGAGGGTGGCGGGGCGTGCGATGGCGGCTGCGGCGGCCGTACCTCCGAACGGCCGCTCGTGCGCCGGCAGCGGCGGCTGGCTGCGCTCGACCTCGGCCAGCGCGGCGCCCAGCTCGCGCAGCACCATGGAGCGCCGCTTGGGCTCGGGCTCGTCGGCCGGCGCCACGGCCGCCGAGCTGAGGTGGACGGGCGCGATGGCCGGCTCGTCGTCGACCGGGCTGACCAGGTCAGTGACGGTGACCTGGCCCGTGGCCGGGCCGTCTTTGGGCGCAATCGGCGCCAGCGGCCGGACCGGCCGTCGTGTCGGCTCGGGCTTCTCCTCGGCCGCGTACTTGCGCTCCTCGGCGTCGGCCGACGGCGTGGCGGCTGTACGGACAGAGGTCAGCACAGTCAACGGGCAGCCCTGGTCACAGCGGTCGGCGAGGTCAGACGTCCGCCAGGGTCAGAGGTCAGGACAGCAGGGGAGGAGGTCAGTGACGTGGCCCAGAGTGCTCGCCATCACAGCACGCCGGCTGTGCACGCCGGCCCGGTGCACGCCCGGCTGAGGCAGCGTCAGCAGTAGGCACGGCCGCGTGTTGCCGGGGGACGGAGGGACGGAGGGTGGGACAGGCGGCACGCCCAGGCCCGGCAGCACCGGACAGGACCGGCCAGGCCCAGCGGGGCGCTGAGTCGATCAGAGTCTGGTCCGCCGGTAACCGGATATCACCACACCACCATCATGAGCACGCGACCAGACCACCCCCGACGAGACCAGACCACACGGCAGACACATCGGCCCAGTCGGCCGGAGTCCGTCCTGCTGTACACAACAGCCGCCCAGAGCTGCTAACACATCAGACGCGGCCGCCACATCGCAGATGGCCGGCGTCACAGCGACGGCGACAGGTCTACACGGCACACACACGATAGTAATGAGTCAGCGGGTGGCGCCGTCGGTCCACGCGGCCGGCTAACGCGGATACCAAGGCCAACCAGTCGGCGCTCACTACTACGGCCGACGGGCGATGGTCTACACACCGTCTCCGCCGCCCCGCCCCAGATAACGGCGCGCCGGCCGCGGCCGATGGGAGGTGTGACGTCAGCACGGGGGCAGCCGTGACCGGCGCCGTGGACGCCCGCCTCCGGACACCAGGTGAGGCGCGAGTGACAAACGACGACAGAAGCCGATAGACGTAGACACCCTGTTCGACAAGGACGCCCCCACGGCCTCAGCGTGTTTCTAGCTCCACGAACACGGCTCTTGTGACGGTTCAAATCAACAATGAAGCAGACGATAGCGAAGGGGGAGGGGGAAAAGAGGGCTACGGTCTTCAGCAGCCGGGGACTTGTAAATTCGGAAAACTCCTGGCAAGTGGTCAGGGCTGGTCGCAAAAATAGCATGGAGCATTTATTTAACCGTGATCTGCCTCAGCAGTCCAAAGGTCACGAGGTCGCGACTACGAGGTCACGAGGTCACAAATCCCGGGGCGCGTCTGGTCTCCGGGCGTCCGCTATGCAATCCAGTGACCCAGAGACGGGGGACGGCTTCAAGGGTCATACAGCCCCCTCCCTCTGATTGAAGAGGATAACAACAGAAACTGGGCGATTTCGCACGAGTTCGGTGAAAATTTGACATCCGCAATCGAGGAATTTTGGGTACGTGCCTGATGCACAAGCAGCACACCATCGGCTTGAGTTGATGGCAGCGTCCCCCTCCCGCCCCTCCCCCAGTGCAGCGGGAAACACCTGTGCTGATCGATACCAGAGGCCGCCCACCCACCTGGCACCGTACCTCTCCCACCATGCAATGTTCTGCAGTCGCCCCGCAGCCCAGTCGGCCGGCGCCACGTCACCGCCTCCCGCCCGCGACACGACCCCGCGGCCGGCACGCCGCCGTGACGACCCTCGTGACCGGCGGCCGGCAGAGCGTCTCCGTCCATGTGGCCGCCAGCCTCGGCCGCGCCGCCGGCCCCGCCCCCGCCGCAGTCCCGCGGGGGCAGCGCCGGCGCCGTGGAAGGCGGCTACGGCGGCGAGTCGGCGGCGGGCCAGCATAGCATCGAGCGGCTGGAGGGGCGGGGAGGCCGGCGGAGCACGGCCGGGCCGCTGCCACGTGGGCACGGGAACTGGGCCGCCGCCAGCCCCGGCACCGCAAATCACAGACGGCAGGGGAAGGGGGCATCCGAGGCAGCACGGGCACGGGGGGGGGGGGGCTAGTGACGGGGGCGGGAGGCTATCAGCGTCTGCGGTGGAGGGGCTTTTTTGGAGTGCGGCCGCGCCCTTTCTACAGTACCTTCATGATGGAAGGAGACCACAGACGTCACAGCCGCTAACAAGCGCCAACGACCTACTGCATGAATGGGCTGTCAATGCTGGCTCGCCCTGGCGCCGAACACAATTACCTCAGCTGCGTAACGTGCATATCCGCTCGGCTATCCACGGACCTTGTTAGTAAATTACTGCTGTTCATGACGACACAACACTGCCCACAAACAATAGTCAGTGAAACGTGGAGCCCAAATCATTTTCCTGATCACCGAATTTGGGAATCATGCTCAGATAGCGTCACGGTGAAAAAAGACGCGCTTGGTATGGGCGGGAGGGTGACAGTGTGAGACCGTATATATGCCCTACCCTCCCCCTCCCCCCCCCCCCCCCCCCCCCAGTTGGCAGCACCATTGCGGAGCCGCGCACAGCCCACGTGTACGGCGGCTGCACGTGTGTGGTCGCGCCGGGCGTCCGCTGCCCGCCCGCCGGCTGTGGCTGTTCGCGGTGTGTTCGCTGGACGCAGTCCCAAACCAGCGGCACCAGCCGCGCACCAGCCGCGCCCCGTCACCACACAACAACAAACAGTGACCGCGCGTCCGCAGACGACGCGGGTCAGCCGGCGCGCCGCCCTGCGGTCCGGGCGGCCGGCTGCGGCGGAGACGGCAGCGGCGCATACACCTGCCGCTGCCGCCGCCGCTGCCGCCGCTGCCGCCTGGCCGCCCGGCCGCCCGGCCGCAGGCTCGGCCCCGACGCCACCGGTGGTTGCACCCACGACAGCGACCTGGGCCGGCACCCAGGTCAGCCGCACCGGAGACGGTCCCCTCCACCGCCAACCAACACAGGAGCGCCGCACGCAGGAACACCGATCTCTCGGACACAACACGATCACCGTACCTACCAAACGCAACAGGACCACGGGTCCCACAGCACAGTACCACCAGCCAGCCGGACACAACAGGCCTACGGGTCAGAACCACCGGTCCACAGAACCACCGGTCCGTCGGTCCACGGGACCACCGGTCCGTCGCTGCATAGGACCGCCGGTCCATCGGTCGAAGGGACCACCGGCGACGACTGCACCACTCACCAGGCTCGACTTTTTCAACTTCGGAGACGCGAACGTCTTCCATGCTTTCGGCTTCCTGAAACACAAAACAAACAGCCGTCAGGGGCCGGTCCACACACGCGCCCGCGCGCCCGCCGGCGCCGCTCACGCCGCGACAACACAAACGTGGCGCGCCGCGCCGCCCGCGCCAGCCCGGCCCACGCCGCGTACGTGTGCGGACCTGGGCCGAGCTGCGGCGGGAAAACAGGGCGAGCACACCAACTCCGCCCGACGTCCCACACGCTCGCGAAGTACCGATTCGAACGTTCCATTTGCGAGGTTTGCTTTGGGCAGCCCCCAGCCGGATAGGCAGCACATCGGTTAATGGACTTCCAAATATGATTCAGTCAAAGCGGAAAGCACACTTTTACGCATGGTCCATACCATGCCAGTTGATTCAAACCCACTGAAACTCGCTCAAAATTACGGAAAGTGGCGTACAATTTTTGCCGAGCCATATCAATTATAAAATGCAGGTTTGATTTTTTTACCCTTCCAAACTACTTGAGCCGCACAGCTTTCAAATCTCAGCATACTCTGTTCCTTGTCGGTTGTAGCTATCACATTCAAGCCCCGTACAACTGCATCGATTAACCTCAAATCCGTGGATTTATTCGGTCCGTGAAAGGTTCCAACTAGACACCACACTGAACCCGATACCCCCGCTATTAATTATCACTCGATTAGCATAGCATTTACCCAGAGCACACGCTGCCCATCACAGGCCACTCCAACCCAATGGCGGCGTGTGCCCGAGCCTGCGCCGGTCTTATACGGTCTCGTATACGGTCTCATACGCTGCCATCTCATACGGTCTCATACGCTGCCATCCAACCCCGTCCCTCTCGCCGTGGATTCCAGCGGGGATCTCAGCTGCGAGAGTGGCCCAACGTCCGGGGCGGAGGACGGCCGTCCGCACCGCCGGCCGTCCGCATCGACCGTCGTCCGCCGAGCGTGTCGAGCCGGTGAGGGTCACGGGTCACGGGTCACGCGGCTCACGGGACGTACCCAGCCCCGGCAGTGTCGGCTGGTGCTGCTCGGGACCGGACCAGATTCAGCAGCTGCTCGCTGACGGACCGGCCCGGTCCGTCAGCGATCGCCATCCGCTGAATAAACCGGCCGGAGCAGCCGCACGCGTGCAGCGCCCAGCAGTGTCGGCTGGTGCTGCTCGGGCGCGGACCAGAGCGGTCCGGTCCGCGGCGGTCGCGATCTGCTGACTAGAGCGGCCGGAGCAGCCGCTCGCGTGCAGCGCGAATGCTGCCGGTGCGACCAAAGTCGAAACAGTGGCGATGCCGCGTAAACAAGCAAGGGCAAGGGCAATAAAAGAAGAGCGCTGCCGCACGCCGGCTCTGAATCAAGGCCACTGCCAGGCCGGTACGCGGTGACGGAGCGAGATAAAGTTTGCTGGCATTGAAAGATCGCTTGCTAGCCCGTATGATGCCTACCAAAACGATGTTATGACGCAATTTTGTGCTCATCAGCAGTACACCATCGATTTATGTTGCAACTTGATATGCTCAAGGATAATTTTATGTTTAAATCGTAATCGTACCGCGAAATTTTGGCACCGATATGGCCACATGAGCGGCGAGTGCATGACAGTCGTTCATGCTTTCCTGAAAAGTTGTTTTGTCCGCAGCGTCACGGCCGAAGAGAAGGCCCCGGAGTAACACCATTTCATTTGTTCAATATTTCTCGGGATGGAATGCTGCTCTTTTGACTGCGGCTTTTCCACCCGTTCTCCGAAAAAGAAATTGAAGAACTGGTTCGGTGGGTTTGATCAGTGTCTGATATCGCCACTGACCACAACACCTCAGCTAACGTGAGAGCAGCCCTCGGTCCGAAGACTCCCGATGGCCGCCGGCGACATCCAAAATGGCGGGCCGCGCTTCCTCGGCATCGGCGCTGCCCCGGGACCCGACCTGCGAGCCCCCGTCCAGGTCCGGACGTGAGGCGCGGCTCCGGGCGGCGACGGTGGCGCCGCCACGCGGTGGCCTTGGATCCACAGTCAGCTTACGCGCGGCTGCGTGGGCGCCAAACAACATGGCGGCGCCGGCCGGCACGTGGGCGTGGCAGGCGGCCGGCGGGGGCGGCTGCTGGGGCCTCGCCGAAGGGGTGGAGAGACCTCACCAGATCATCTTGAGGTTGGACAGCGGGGCATATCGGCCGCAGTCCTCCACCAACACCTCATGTGCTTAAGATTTTGATACGGTGCCTGTAGGTACGTCAGCGCTGCGGGAGTCCACGAAAAGTAGCAACAAGAGGAGGCTGAGGCATGACAATCGACCACATTATACACCCAGGATCGGGCGCGCACGATCCAACCAAACATGAAGTCGCCAGAGGAGGCAACCACGACGCACCACGCTGGATAGAAGTGGAATCATCTTCCGGCGGTGAGAAAAGGAATCTCGTGAAATGACTATATTTACCACGACAGAATCACAATACAAAACGCTAGGACGCTGCTGGATCGTAAGTCCTCATACCCTGCCACTGGCTGACTCAAATTCAGAAGCCAGGACATGGGACTCTAGGCTCGAACCCAGACCAAAACTAATACTTGACGAGACAAAAGCCCGCAGTTAACAACAGCATCGAAGTTTACCACCCTCCGCTGAAGGACGACCGCTGCGGGGAGGGGGGGGGGGGGCGGAAGCCAAGCGCCTCACACGGCGCACGGCCGCCCCTTTGCCAAACCGCGGGCCCGCACAGACCCGGGGAGCGCGCCACCGCAGGGAGCGCGTGTGTGGCCTGGCGGACGGATCACGCGGCCGCTGCAGCCTGGAGCGCGGCAAGACAGCTCGGCCCGCCGCCCTCCAGCACCGGCACCGGCACCAGTTGGCACGCGATGACGTGTGTTATTTCCGTGACCTCCGGAGGTGACCGCGCGCCACGCCGCGCCGCGCCGCCGCTGCAGAGCCTGGAGCCGGCCGGCCGTTGTCTGCGCTGCTGAGGTAAACACGGACGCCCCGCAAACACGGTCTGGTGCCGAGCCGGTGTCTCTCGGCCGCCGCTGCAGCGGGGCGCGCCGTCCACCGACGGGCCGGAGGAGCTCCGCCAGCCGACTGATGTAGGAGCTGGACCGCAGCCAGTCCTGCACTCGGCAACTCGTCTGTCCGGTCTAAATCTGTCCGGTTTGTATCTGTCCAGTCGGTACTTGTCCGACTGCATCTGTTCGGTCTACATCTCGCCTAACTGTATCTGTACGGCCGGTCTACATCTCTCCTATCTGTATCTGTACGGCCTATATCTCTCCGTTCTGTATCTGCCCGGCTAATCTGTCCGGTCCGTATCTGTCCCGTCTATATCTGTCCGGGGCAAGGCGCGGCGGAGCTGATCTCACCAGGCTGAACAAATTCATATCCCGGGGCAATGCAAGATTCTGCTTAGCAGTAAACGAGTCGGCGAAGTTTGTGTGAAGCGAAGTTTGAGCTGAGGCGTGCAGCGAGAACCGCGACATCCATCGCCGAGCCGACAGGACGCCGAGGTGCCGCCGTCAGCAGCGTCTGGTGAAGGCGCACCCCGGGGGCCGACGCGCCCGCTGCCGCTCGGCTCTGTCAAAGGCTGGCCGGCGGGGCGGAGGCGCCGCTCGTCTCCGGCGGCGCCGCTCGTCCTCCAGCGGAGGCGCTCGTCTCCGGCGGAGGCGCCGCTCGTCTCCGGCGGCGCCGCTCGTCTCCAGCGGAGGCGCTCGTCTCCGGCGGAGGTGCTCGTCTCCAGCGGAGGCGCTCGTCTCCGGCGGAGGCGCCGCTCGTCTCCGGCGGCGCCGCTCGTCTCCGGCGGAGGCGCTCGTCTCCGGCGGAGGCGCTCGTCCCCGGCTGCCGCGTGCAGCCGAGTCAGCGCGCGAGAGGCTCTATCGCAGGCCGCCCGTCTGCGGCCGCCGCCACGTCCGAAGCCGCGGGCCAGCTCCGTGGCGAGGCTGGGAACGAGCTGACCGCACCGTATTCGCAGGTCTGGAAATCCTCCGGGAGCCACAACATGTATGTCACCAAGACCCAAACATCAGAGAGAGCGTCTGCTGGCACAGCAAGATGGCCAGGACCACCGACATTTGTAAAGCAGACCTTGAAGCATGCAGCAACTTCACAGGCTCCTTGTTGACAGGCGGCAAATATAAACGTACCCGTCACTCCAAGACAGGGCACATCCTATGCACCGCAGCAATTCAACCGCCGGCCCAGCCAAAAGCTCCATACCAAGACCCTGTTATATTCCAGAGACGTGTCAGGTCAGGTCACCGGAAAATGCTGAAGTGGGGGCGAAGATGGGAACCGCTGCAACCATGCGGTCCCGCTGAAGCATTTTATGTGTGGGCGCCGTTTGACCGGTTATCCTGCACCCCTGGGGAGCTGTCCGCCTCCTCCCGGCCGAGGCGCTCCCCCCCCCCCCCCTGACATCAGCCCGTGCTCTCCCAGAGTCCCGGCGGGCCGACGGTCGTCACCACCGCGGGGCGTGGTGCGACCCGACGTCAGACGCCGGGGAGTGCGACGGACCACAGCAGGGATTACACGGAACCGGATGTTCGCCTGGCGCCAGGGCCCACCTTCGGCAAAGGGCGCGGCCCGCCCAGACGACGGGCAGTCATTAGCTGGCGTCTGACACCAACGACATCTGCGGGGTCGACTTTGGCACCGCTCTTCGCGCACAGCAAAAACTACGGAAAATACGCCACTGTGCTCGCACCACTTCCAAGAGACCCGAACACCCTGCGCTTCACAACCCATGCCTCGTGTTTGTGACAAGCCCATCGGCGTATTACGTTGTGGCATTTGTACTAATGATAGAGAAAGCCCACTGCTTCCAGAGGGACGCCACTGTAATCGATCCCGCGGAGCCCGTTAATTCAAACCAGCCCCATAAACCGATTTCCGTCCCCGCTCTGACGCACCCCTGCCGCCGGACACATCGACAGGATGATTACTATGTGCTCCCCTAAAAAGGGCCGAATCACCAGCTTGTTCGGAAAATTCGATCAGCAGTGTGGAAGCAATTAAACCATGCCAAACTGAACAAGAAAACACTTTAAATTGTGAATGC